TCGTCATTTTCTATCTCGACTTGAAGTATAAAGTCAACCTTTCTGAAAGCACGTGTTATATACATAGATGTTATGCCAATGTACTTCTCTTCATTTATGTTCACAATCCAGTCTGTTGGAAACTTAAACGTTACTCTGTTCCCCTTTATTTTGACGTTAGGGTTTTCACTACTGAACGCAACAGATAAAGGTATTTGTCTATACATTTAATTCGGATAAAAATAAACCATTTACTCTTTCTTTGCTTCAGCTTCTTTAGCTTTTGCTTCAGCTTCTTCTCTAGCTTTCTTCGCCAGTAGTCTTGGGTTCTTTTGTCTTCCAGCAGCTAATGCAGCAAGTTGTTTTTCACTAAGTTTTCTCTTTGGTCTCTCTGGCTTTTGTTTTGTTTTTGTTCCTTCAGTTCGGATAAAATTTGCTCACGAATTTCTTTCTTCAATGCTTCAACATCTATGGCCCCTTGGGTCTTGTCCGTAGGACTTGTCTGAGTCATTTGACTGCAGATAAAAAACAAAATTAAAACTTTAACCGATGTAAAATGAGCTTGTCAAAATCAGAACGAGAGTCTATTATATTAAATGACGCAAGAGGAATACAACATCCTTTCTATTACGTAAGTCAGAGTAAAGATGGTAAAATATACGTAAGAAAAAGAAAGGTTCCATTAGCGAATGCAGAAAGCGACAACATTAAGGTGTATGGCAAGGGTGAAGTCCACGAAGCCCATATAAAACCTTCTGTTCAAACTGAAAAGTCAATAGAACCAGAAGAAAAGAAGCCAGATGTACTTTCAATAACGAACCAAGAGCTTATTGCAAAGTTCGTGAATTTCATTGAAAAACAAACCGAGTCAAAGAATCCTGACCCGCCAGTGAAAGAAGTTGAGACAAAAGAGAATGTACAGTTCATTGAAAATGTCAAGAAACAACTTCCACCACGAATGCCAAGAAGAAGAGTGAGAATAATGAAGTAAATAGATATTTTTATCCGAAGTAAATACATGCAGAACGAACAGTTAAACGAATTTACTCCAGCAGAGCATATTCATCAGATTCGCTCATATTTCGATATCATAGACAATGCAGTTCAAATTGGTGACACTAATAGAAAATATTCTGACGCAAAGATTCCATCACAACCTGGAACTGCTAAAGATAACACATGGGTAACATTCAATCTCTCACCTCCTGGTGAAAATATGTTGGACCTTTACAATACATTCATTACGTATAAAATGGAAGGTCAATTTATTGCAGATAAAGAAATTGGTTCAGGTTCCAATAAAACAAACCCACCAGGATTTTGGATTGGTTTCGATGACGCTTTCTATGCAGTTGCTGGATATCAAATTCTTGCAAATGGTCGTATCGTATATTCTCAAGACAACGCAAGAGAAGAAGCATATATAACTTCAAACTCACAAACTACCGAACAAATAAAGAAAGTAGATGTTTTCTCAAAGACTCGACATGAAGATGTATGGAGTCATTCGGGAACATGCAGAACAGGACAAATTGTTAGTGGTCCAGTTACAGCAGGAAAATCATTTGATTTTAAGCTTCGTTTAAGAATTCCTGTTAGAAGATTCCTTCCATTAGAAGCTATTCGATTTATTCCAGCTTTTGCAGGAAACATTCAGCTTAAAGTAAAGTTCAGTAGCGACGCCTTACAATGCACATCTATATCTGTAAATGATATCATTGCTTTCAATCCAACTCTTAAAGTTGCATTTGCTTCAGATTCAAATCCACCGACAAATAAATTTGTTCCATGGAATGAACCATTCACTATGATAACGAAGGCAGTAGAAGCTAGTGGAACAGTTACTATTACAACTGTAAACCAGCAACTATTTCGAACAAAGATGGATTTTAATGAATGTTTCATTCATCCAAAGTCATTCTCTTTAGATCCTAACATTTATACAGAACTTGTAGAACATTATACAAACGAGGCTTTATGTTTTCCTGTTAAAGTTATGGATTGGATTCCTATGGACGGTTCATTCTCAAAGAATACAGATAGTTCAAGTGCAACATTTACAGCAGCTTATACGCCTATTAATGTTAAAAGTATTTGGGCACTATTTAGAAAGAAAGACAACTATTATGTTAATTTTGAGAACCCTAAGTTTAAATATCTTCAGCTTTCCATGGGAGCTTATGGAAATATGCCTGCAGAACCTGAAAAATCATATGGACCTGTATTTTATGAAATGGTTGCGAACGCTTGCAATACAAACAATGATATGATAGGATTTAATGAAGATGTTATGAGGTCATTGGTGGATGATGGTAGTGTGGAACATAAATGGGATAGCTATGACAACACACATTTCTTATGTGGTTTTCCAACAGAAGTGGACTTTTGCTTCCAGCAAGGTCAAACATCTACTGCTCCAATAACATACAAATTGTCTGTTAAAGGACCTATTGAACTAGCAACTGAAAACGTACCAAAGCCACTTATTGGATTTATGAGGGATTGTTGCTTTGCCATTCAGGTGCGTGCTAATGGAATCCCCATAATAAGACTTGACGACTATAACTTAGCAACTGACGACAGTGAGGAATAAAGGATGAACGTTTATTTTTAAAGCTTATAAATGAGTTCTTCATCAAGCTCTCGTGAACCTTCACCATCTATGAAACAAACTTTACCAAACGATTATGGAGCACCTATTGAATATTTCTTACGAGCTGCACAATGGCAAAGAGCAGTCTCACCAAGGTTAGGTGTTCCACCAGCTCCTGTCAAAAATAGCATTTGGTCAAGTCCTTATATAAAATATGGTCTCCCACTATGTTTGCTAGCTACAGCAGGAGCAGTTATGATGTTGAAAAGAAATAAAGCAAATGTTGTAAATAATACTGAAGTAGCTGAAGTTAAACAAACTCCAACACCTTCGCCAAAACCTTCGCCAAAACCAACACCTTCACAAGCAAAACCTTCAATGACTCCTGAACCTATGAAAGTACAAACTCCTGTTCAAAAGTCAACTCCTAAACCGACTCCAACATTTAAACCAGAACCTACTCCTCAAATAAATCGTAAAACTCCTGCGTTTCCTTACTGAAAAAATAACGTTATTTTTATTTAATATTAAAATTTTTATTTGATTGAAATGACGACTAAAGTCACTGAAGCAATGAAACAAAAGTTTTTGGTAGAATACATTAAATCAGGAGCGATTCCAGAAGGTTTTTACATTCATACTATGAAGGATGGTAGAGTTCAGTTTAGAAAGATAAAGCAACCATTAGATAAAGAAGGAATTTTGAGAAAGATTAAACTTCATGAGGACAACATTGCTGAACTTAGGAAGAAGTTAGAAGAGTTGGAGAAAGGAAGAGAGTTGGATAAAGCAATGAATTCAAGTGGGTGAAAAAAGAGGTGAAAAAAGAGGTGAAAAAAGAGGTGAGATCTCACCACTTCACCTAAATTTATTTTTGTGCTATGTTTTCATATGTGTGGGAGTGGTGATATCATTATTTTTTATTTTATTTTTAAAATTATTTTTATTTTATTTTTATATAAATGACGAAAACTATTGAGATAACAAACTACAACGGTCATGAGTTCAAGAATTTGTTCTTCGTTCCTCGTGAAAATACATTCTATCAGATACGAGGGAGAAAGGGTAAAGTTAGTTTGAGCGTTTATGAAGGAATGAAGAATGGAAAGTTTATACAAGCATACGATACAAACGGTAAACGTGTTTCATTAGCTTTGTCAAAACTTACTAACATTTATTTTGACAGTGACTTTGACTCTGACGATTGGAGCGACAGCAGCGATACTGAAGAATATGAACTATTGTGTGAAGCACAGCAATGGGAAGAGTTGCAATACTTTTGTAAGTGAGAACGTTTATTTTTACAGTAGTGAAGTCGTTTGTGAAAACATTAGTGAGGTGAAGTGGTTGGCGGCTTTATAAATATTTAAGGTTAAGTTGGTGTTTGTGTTGTAAAATATACGTTAACGGTTTTGTAAAGTGTCAAATTCATAAGTATTGCGTACGGAGGAACGCAGTGCCACAGTACACATGATATGTATACTAACTAATAAATCTGTTGTTTTATCCGAAATATTTAGGGCTGTACAAAATCGAGAAAAACATTGCCGTGCGGTAATATAGGGTCAAAAAAAGCGCGCCTCGGCACTATTAAGTGTGCATTATATTTAATATGTCCTTCTTTTTTTTTCTTTTTCTTCTTCTTCTTTTCCTTTCCTTCTTCCTCTCCTTCCTCTTCTTTCCTTCTCCTTCTCTTTTTACAACAACGTCGAAGATCTTCGAATTTGATTGTTGGAAAAGCATCTATTTCAGATAAAGGATGCCTTTCTCACAGTCAACATACGAGGGTCCTGGCTGAAACGTTCTCAAAAAGCCTGAGATGGTAATTCTCTGATCACTCATAGCTGGGCAGGTAGTCATTGCTGACAATACCTGTCTTTATGCATGCACGCTTTCATGTATATGGGTTTACACTATCAATTCGCAAAGTTGTTCCGAATTCTTCCAAAACGGAAGGACCCGAAACAACTTTGCTTGTTAACGATACAGACGCATTACTTTGCATTGATACTGTGCTGAGTTGTGTAGAAAGTTTGATTAGAGTTGTTTTGTTCTGGTATCTCTCATCTTCTGATGAGAGAAATCAAAGCAACACAACTCTAATGAGTTTGTTTTCACTCATTTGTATGTAGGTTTTTAGTTCGATTGGAGCTGCTTCATAATGAGATCTCTCATCAATTGATGAGGGAGATCATAACAAAGCAGCTCTAATGTATATGCTCGTATTAACCGGGTTGTAATGCGTTGTAACGTCAGCTTGTAGTTCGTTTGGGGCCACTTCACATTGAGATGAGAAGAAATGATTAAAAGACTCTGAAAGGCTTTGGCCGTTGATGTTGTAATCGCATTACTTGGAACTAGCTGGATGCTAAGCAAAGTTGTAAAATAAAAAACAAAAATATAAAATAACAAATATAATGCTCAAAGCTCATGTGTATGAGCTGAGAATCTTTTGTAGACGCGATGTCCTTGCTCTCGATGTTCGGACAATCTCCGTTTGGGCCTTGGAAATGTTTCCGAGTTGGGTTAAATCTTCTTCTAAGATACCACGCTGTTGTGTATGGTCTTGCTTAGCAGGCATTACTGGCTCCTCAATTTCCTTCTTGTCAGGTGTTTCTTCTTGCTTCTCTGCGGCCTTTTGTCTTGCTTTAATCTCATTATCCATCACAGTTTGGAATTGAGTCGTAAATTTCGCGAATACTTCTAAGAATGTTGTGAGATTGTAATCGATCGGTGATTCTCCAAACATCTTTAAGCATTCCGTGTACATTTTCTCAACTTCATTTAATTCCTTCTCGACGCCTTCAATGAAAGGAGTCGCTTTTGGTTCGAAGTCAATGAACTTCAAGTAGAAAAGATCTCCGTCAACAATTCTCTCTTTACTTGGTAATTTGATTGATTTGAATTTTTCCATTTGAGTTCTTAACTCTATAATGGATCCTCTAAGTACATCGATATCAATCTTCTGGGCCGTAGAAACATCCTTCAATTCGTTTGTGAATTGACCAAAATTGTTGAAATCTGGTGTATCAAGAACTAACCAGACCAAAATGTGCATAAAAGTGATGCCTGGTATTGTACTTCTTACATATACCAAGTCTGCAATGGATTTAATCTTGTAGCCGTAAGCTCCACCTCTGTTTGTTCCACCATTCATAAAATTGCCACAAGAAAGAAGTAATCTGAGCATGTTTCTCAAATTTTCGGAAGATTTGATGGCAAATAATGAGTTCTTGAGAAGCTTGAGAGGTCCTTGGATCTGTTCTTGAGTACTTTCAAAGTTATGAGAAATATTCATGAAGGAAAGATGTTCGTCAAAGTCATTGATGACACTCAACGCCAAATAGTACTTTTCTGCAGTACCAAGAAGCTTTTTGTCACCTGTATAAGCCATGATTGCTTGCATTTCTTCTGGTTTTGGCCTGCAAGCATACAAAGCTGCGAATTGATCATCAGTGAACACTCTATTGAAGCGAAGTTGAAGAATTGCAGTTGCGATATCTTCATTTTTAATCTTGAAACGGGAAAGCATGATATTAACGCTTCTTGCTCTGTTTGCTTCTAATATTTCGACCATTTTCTCGGCTTCTTTCTTCATTTGGAGGAACTTATTCAACTTTTTAACGACTTTTACTTTCATACAGTAATATTCTTGAAGTTTTCTTGTATCGAAGTCTGTAAAGTCCTTCATATCCTCCCAAATTGTTCCTTTCTCCATTTGTCTGTTGATTTTCTGCCAGAAAAATGCTCTCATTTTGATTGGAGGAGCAACATTTGGTTTTCCATCGTTTTTAATGACATCTCCCATTGATGGCGGTGGTGGTGGAGATGGTGGTGCCATGTCTTTCATTGAAGAACCTGGTTCAAAACTAGATGGAGGATTTATAGACAAAGGAGACAAATTGAGACCAGATAAGGGACCACTTGCAATTGAATTTGATCCAAATCTTCTTCCTGATTTTAGATCTTCGTTCTCTTTTTCGTAATCTTTCAATTTAAGTTGTAATTCATAGATATTTCTATTATTTTCGTCAATAATATCTCTAAGTTTAGCAATGTCTTCACCATCTTCAGGGATTTGACGCTTCAAACGCTCGATTTCATCAACTAAATTCTGTTTTGTTAGGGAATTTGAACTTTCTTCGTTCATAATATTCCTAAGATGTTCTCTGACCATTGTAAGTTCTTCATGTAAGCCTGACACTCTGATTTTAAGAGCATCTTGTGAATCATCCTCGAGATTATCAAATGAAACTGAAGGTAAAGGAATTGAACGCAAAACGTCATTACCAAGAAAACCGTATTTCTCATAAACCTCTGAAATTATTGTTGGCAAAGTCAGTTCAGGTACTTCTCCTGGATGTAATGCGTAATAAGCTGCTTCGTCCATTTTCTCTTCGCTTCCGATTGCAACTAATTGTCTGTAATAAAAAAGAAAGTTTTCGATGTATGTAAATACTTTTTCTGCTATTTCTGACGAAGACTGAATTAAACTTGCAAAATGAAGATTTAATGTCATTAAGCAATCCTCTCTCATAGTTTCGTTAACGAAATCTGTAATTTGGCGTATGTCAAATGGATTCAAGTGCTTTTTAGGAAATAATTGTTCAATCGATCTTGCTTCTTCTATCATAATTTGTACGTCGTGTTGGTGATCTTTGATAAATGCGAGTTGTGTAAGTACTTGCGATTTGTGGAGATTTAAAAGAAGTGCTGTATATTGTTTTATATCTGTCGTCGATTTCAAAACTGCACCGAGAAACACGAAAAACACACGAATAGCGTCTGATTGTATCGCTCCGGCTTCGTTTTGATTGAAATTTTTGTTATGGCGAATATTAAGGACATATGAAAGATAATCTGCCATAATTTCCCAACCTTTGAGCTTCCCTCTTGTCTGAGCTTCTATATTATCTAGTACAAATCGGTAGAAGTTGTTTGCAGGTATAAAAACGCATGTAACGGCTAAAATGCTGTAGTCAATACAACTTCTTGAGGATAAATCACGGAAAGCATTGGTGCAATAAACTCTGGATGTGCAGCAAAGTGGGGTCGGCAGATTCTAACATTGGCCAATATTCGTATACGTTGAATAATTTCCTGGAGAACGAGAAAACGCTTTTGAGCAAGCTTATTTATCATACATTCATCTCCAAAGTCTGTGAGTAATTGGAATAAGAACTTTAAACCATCATGCATAAGAAATAACCGAATCCAAGAAATTTTGCAAGTCGTTAAGATTGTTTTGAGAGCTCTTACGTTTTCATCTGATAGACTTTTCTTGATTTTTTCGAAAAAATAAGTCGGATCCGGTGTATTTGTTTCTGCAATCTGGTCACCTTCGATAAATTCTAATTTTTGCTCCCTAGACATTTGAGACATCTTCAAAATAGTTTCTTGAGAATAGTCATTGTCAAGGAGTAGCTCTAGGAACTTCTTTTCAACTGGATCTTGTCTAGGAGGCTTAGAGCTCATTAAAATCTTTGTAAAATCAAAATAAACTTCACAATATAATTGTAAACTTTTGAAAAATTAAATAACTTGTCAAATATGTAAATTAATTGTGAGCTCAAAAATCGTCATAAAAAGTAATAATTACTAAACAACGAATTTGAAGAGTAATTCTTATTAAATTTTGAGCACTCTAAAAAATTGATTAAGATATCGGCATTTAATATTCCTATTTAGGTATTTGACCATTACCACATGATAAAAACAATTTTTTTAAAATGTTATCAATTTGTTATGGTATATCTTTATGATAATGAATAAAATGCTTATCTTTCATAAGTAAATACATAATTTATGCTGAAACACAAAAAATAACACGAAAGTTTTTTGCCAACATTTCAAAACTAAGGATAATGTTTTGAATATATAAACAATAATACTTTGTCTGGAGAATTAAATTTGTGCTATCCAATTGTCAATTCTTTGAATTTTTTATAAAATGCACGATATTCCGACATTAGCCTCTTTAAATATAAACTACATGCATCACAATATTAGTATGTAATGGCATTAAAGCGAATTTCCTAATTTCTTCTCAATTTAATTCCTAGAAAAACTTAGGAATTAATGATTGGAAATAGGTCAAAAAATTGCTAATATAAAATTTATACTTAAATTAAAATCAAAATTCGAAAATATCTATTTTTCAAAACACGCATCCAGAAGCAAAAAGAGAGAGGGTCAAAGTTGCTATTTGTCACTTTTCCACAAGAATATAATGGGGAAAAAGTTATCATATAGTTGATCTCATTCACTGAGGTGAGAGATGCATGTAGTGTAATGGGATAAACAGTGTGATTGCTGCTCTAAGTACTAGGTTCGAGACACATTGGCTTCATTTTTCTCTTTTTTATTGACGTAAACTATTCAATTTTTGTGTTCTCCATTCAAATTTCAGAATTTTTTTTGCAGATTTCACGCTACATTCGAAGTTACCTTTTGTAACAACCACCACTGCCTACGAAAGACGAAAGTGTGTCACGATTTCACCCGGAAATCCGACGGTTGTTTAAGAGTATGCACTTTTGTCACCTACTCGAAGCAAAAAAAATAGGAAAAAATCATGTTCTTATAAAACTCGCTGATTTTGCAAATTTTATGTGATTTGAAGTGATAGAATATATTATCATCTTATTAAAACATATACTTCATTGTTACATTCACAAAATATTAATCAGAACACTAGGAAAAGTGGATTTTCGAAAAAAGACGATAATGATTATTTGCAAATCGCCTCTCAATTTTGAGAGACTTTCAATTTTTACAGTGGACCCTTAATCATGATATCATTTTTACTTGGGAAAACGTTGATCTTTGTCCATTCAACAATGATCCCAACAAGTTCTCCATTGGAATGGCAGCTTTACATATCATATAGAGAAACAAATGCATTATTCGATATATCTGAGGTCTTACAATGTAATCTGCACCTGAAGGTATAATAATTATATATAAATCTGATATTATATTTGTTATTGTTCCTATTTACCTGAAAAGGCAAGAATGTGATGCGAAATTTGAATAGAACGCAGCGCATATAAGTAAATAATATATGGTTTTATTAATATCCTTTGTTATTGTTTCCTATTCCATAATTTGCAAAATTAGTTATGAAATTCAAAGATTTAACTGATATAATGAGTAATAAAAGACAGGAACGTCAAACCATAAAATTGTTTAAATCATAAATAAAATAATATTAATATCAAAAAAAAAGAATAAAATTTGATTCATGTGAAAAATAAAAAATTAAGATTCTCAATGTTCATCTAACCATTTCAAGGACTCAAGGTCATCAGTAGCGATGTGGTAAAGGATTGCCAAGTTATCGAAGTTGATTGTTTCAGCTGTTCTGTTGTATTTCTCCACTTGTTCTTGAGCGAAAGTAATTGGATCACCTTCGATCAATTGAGTGAAAACAGAAAGCATCATTTCCTCTAACTTAGGAACATTTCTTCTTCTGATTTGGTTGACTAACTGTCTCTGTTTTCCTCCAATTGTTCTGAAGAAAAGACAGATGACGTTCCTGAAAACTCTGACTGTTTCCTCGAAGATTGGTTCATCTTCCAATCTCTTCAAGAACTCAAGTAACTTTCTGTAGTAAACGTAAGCTTCATCAGCTTCATTCAACTGATCATAGATAACAGCGAGTTGCTGGATACTCTCTATGACTTGTGCTGATTCTTCTTCGTAAGCTTGAGAGCGAATCTCATAAGCTTTCTTCGCGTAAGGCAATGCTTCATCGATTTTTCCTTCATCGTTCAAAACATCAGCGTACATGTAAACGCATTCTCCGTATTCGACACTTGAATCTCCGTATTCAGCCTTAATGGAATACAAAGCTTGTTGGACGAGAGATTCAGCTTGTCCATATTGTCTGAGTGTCGTCTGGAGTTTGCCCATGATCAAGAATGTCTTTGATGTCTTTGGATGAGAAACTCCGAGCAAAGATTTGCAGAGTTCCATGGCTTCTTCGATCAATGTCATTGCTTCTTTGTTCTTGTCGAGGTTCTGGAAAGCTTGTGCTGCTGCGATAAGGATATCAGCAATGAACCAATGCTTGTCACCAAGCTGGAATGTAACTAATTGCTTAGCGCGAGCCATGTATTGGTTGATTTGTTCAATGCCAAGAGCTGTTGAAATGAGAGTGATGTATGCAGGAACTAAAGCGCAGTGGATGTTTCTTCCTGCATTGAGAGCTCCATTTGCACAGATCTCAGCCTTCTCAACATCTCCTGTACCTAAGTAAGCAGCAGAAAGAAGAGAAAGACCTGATGCGACGAAGATATTTTCATCACCGAAGATACTTTGATAAACAGAAATTTTGTTGTTGAAATCCAACATGGCTTCATCATAGAAACCTTCCTGGCAGAGGGAAACTGGGTTCTTGTTAAGACCTCTCATGATGTAGCAGAGTTGGACAAGTCTGTGATGTGGAACAGCGTTCAATGAGTTCAAATCATCAACAGAAAGCGGTGATTTCTGGTTGAAATTGTAGGAATCAGTGTCTTTGAAGTCAACACCTGTATGGAACTGAAGAGAGAAGAAGAGTTGTGGCATGTGCATGAAAGGTATTGACCTGTCAAGCTTAACACCAAACTTAGCTCTGACTCCTGGAGTGATTCTTTCAGACCACATCTTGTCTGATTCTTCTCCTTTTCCGAGAACAGCATTGAAGAAATTCAAAGCGGCTTCATTTCTTTCTCCTGGAGATAAAGAGCTTGTGATCTCGAGGAAGATTTGCTTGCAAACTCTTGCAATCATTTCGGTCTCGAGAAGAATCCTGATGGCAGGAATCTGTGTCATCTTCGACATTGTTGGTAATTCTGAAACAGGAATGCGACGGATTGACATTTCCTCGTGAAGGCTTTGAGAATCGAATACGAAAACTTTCATTCTGTCAAGAAGTTTGACAAATGTCTCAACTTCCTTCTTAGAAGCACGATTGTAATATCCTTCACCAGAAAGAATCCAAAGACGACCCTTAGAGTCTTGTACAGCCTTTGTTGATGAGTGTTTGAGCTTAAGGGATGAAAGAAGCTCAGCATTGTTTGGTGAAAGGGCTGTTGTTGGATTATCAACTTTAGATTCGAAGTAAAGAGTCTGGCCGTAGTAATCGATGATGCATTGAAGTGGAACGTAGACTCCTGGAATGTTCTGATCAACAAGAGCTTGAAGAGCTCTCATTTGATTTAATTTTTCTTTGCGTTCATTTGGATCTGTGATGAGTTTGACATTGTAACCTTCAATATCTCTGATCCTGTTTGTATTGAATATGCCTTGGCTTGCTGAATGAGCAAATGCAAGAAATTCGCCACAAGATTCAGCGAATTGGAATTGAGATTGTGGATCTTCACGCTTAAGTGATGCATCAACGTATGATTGTGCGAACTTCTCTGATCTGAAGTTTGTAATATTTTGGAAGTCATTGCGAGAAAGAGAAGCAATTGTAGACGATCTGCGTTTGTGTAAATCTGACTGAGCGTTTCCCTTTGGTTCTAATGATTCTCTGATGCAGCTTGCACCAAGAAGAGAAGCTCTTTGAGCTCTGCCTTGAATGCAATTTGTCCATTTCTTGAGTGTAATTTCATCTTCAGCGGCGAGGTAGATTCTTTTGTCTGCAATTTTTACACGGAATACAAATTTTCTGTTCCATCTCTTCTGTTCGATCATTTTGATGGAACAATTTAATACGTTGAAGATACTTCCTTCTCTGTCGCCCTTGTTTTTGTAGATACTAAGCTTCTGATCTGAACAAGTGACATAACGCATCTTCCACTGGTTGAACCAGCCCTTTTTCATGAGATAGCCCTCCATTTTTCCGATTTAAAAAAATTTTAAACGTGCATTTTTCAAATTTTATGAGATTTCATTTTATAATCACAGTTTGTGAAACGCATGTACAACATGATTTAGCACTATTTATCATGAAATTGAGAAAATTATTCTGGACATCATCTAAAATTATCCTCTAAACGTCTTAGGAGAAGTTCAAGTGTATGAGAACTCATAGTCACCTCCAGTTTGTATGCGTTCTTGATTGGGAATATTAAAATAATCTCTATATTTACTAACTTAGCCATTTATTTGTAAACATTAAATCATGGATTCTATGATCAAGGTATGATATGTTGGTTGTTATCTTGATTGGAAAACAAAGATGAGATAAATAAATGAGATGATTAGAAGGTTCAAATAACTTCTGAAAATTAAAGAAAAATGTTAATAGTATGTGATTATATAGATGGTTTTACATGGTTTAAAAAGGGTAAATATCTAAAATTTACCAAAAAATAATTAAATACAAATATAATTGGAAAATTATTTCTTAAACGCTTTGAGACACTCTTCAGTAAGTTTCTCATCTTTGTTGCATGCCTCAAATGTTTGTAAAACTTCCATTGAATCGTATCCTTTTTCTTCCAGTCTTTTAACAACTTGTTTCTCTTCATCGGTCAGTTTATCCAATAATTCTTGGTACATTGACTTTGGTCCGAGTTTTGAAAAGTCAAATTTGGAAACATCGAAACCAAGTTGAGTAAGTAACAGCATTGGATTATTTTTGGCCAAAAAATAATATGCTGGGTCGCTTAATAATAACATATCTATTAGCTCTTGTATTTTTTCTGGATGTTCTTCGTAATGTTTTTTAATTTCTGGTGTGATGTGCAATGATGCATCCTCTTCTTCACCATTTTCATCATCTCCATCAGTAGGTAGATCACCAGCTAGTTCATAGTCTATTTCATCAGGTATTGAACCAGATAATAAGATATTTGCTGCGATTTCAGTATTAAAGCCTGCAACTCTGAGCGCTCGAGAACATTCTGAATATTCATAGCCTAATTGTTGTAGTTGCTTGATCTTATCTTCAAAATCTGGTGGTAATTCTATTTTTGATTTTTTGTCAACAGTTGGCAAAGGTGCAATTTCAGGCTGAATAATCTTTTTGGTTTCTTCTGGTTGGTTTGGTGCCTTGTTTTCTTCAGCTGGCTTTGTTTCTGTAGTTTTATTTATTGGTGGAGCTGGTTTTTTGTTTGGAACCATTACGATTAGCTTTGAATTTTCTGTGATTCCACATTCCTTCAAAGTTGAAGGGCTTTTGAGGAATTTTGATTTGAATAATAACTTGATTTCTTCAATTTTTGCGTTTTTTACTTCTGATATCTGCTTTTTAACGTCATTGATATCTTGGTCTTCTGTAACCTCGAGTTCAAGTTTGTCACCTGAAAAAATTTGGCAAATAATTTTCATCAATCAAAAAAAGAGGCACTTTTTACAGTTCTTGAAAAATAAGATAACATTCTATTCATAAGTTCAAAGAAGATATCTCTCGATTCTTTTCTGAATTTCTAAGAATTTGCTACTTTTTATATGAATTTGAATCTTCAGCCTGATTAACAGCGCTCTTCTTTCAAGAATTAACAATATTTAATCTTCTACATCTTATATTTAAAGAAATAAATTCAGAAGGAGATTCGAATCTTCTTTGAACATGTGATTGCTGATGATTCATCGTTTTATGATGAAATCTAATTCTATTTGGAGAAGACTTATAAAAACTGATTGATTTCATAGATTTTAATTGAGATCAAATGCAAATGTAGTGAATGACTCAAATAAGGCAAATTATATATAATAAAATCAGCTACTCACTCTTGTCCTCAACAGCATGATGTGATATCTAGGAAATTACATAGATTTATTGTTATTGAAATGAAATAATATGATTTTTAAGCTTTCAATGTACAAGGAATGTTAAATAAGCTTAATTATGCATTGGCTTATATAGGGAGTTGGTTAGTTTGAAATCTGAATCCTTAGTGAGTATTTTACCAAATCCATGCAGCGTTTTAATACTATGTATATCTTGATTGTCCAATTGTGTTAGCAAAACGATTTGTGTAGATGTATTTGGTATTATAGATCCCAGATTCGCAACGAATGGAAACTAAAACCTCATTTAATTGCTTTCGGCATAAAGAAGTGTAATTTGTTAGTGACCCAAAATTTGGTATTCTATGAGAATATTCGAGATCCGAGGGAAAAGTTCATAACGAATTTCCTAATTTTAAATAGTCGCTTCAAATAGTGAGTAAATTTTACTCTCTGGATCATAAGAAACTTAAATCTTAAATCTTCCTTGAATAAAAATTTCCCCAATCAAAAAAATGAAACGATGTGAATATTGTAAAATTTCACGTTATTGAAGAAAATCTACTCCTCATAGAGTGACTTTTTATTTGATCAAATAATCTCATGATGATCGATTTTTTTCATCGTTTTTTAAGTTTTGTAAAGTTCATAGTTCTCGACCACCTCACTTTTTTATGTCTGGAGAGATTCCCCGCGCTCAGTTAATTTCGGAACATGCTACACTTAACTTTCTTGCATGGTCCCAATACAATGAATTATTCAATCGTCAATTAAAAGTTGAACATTCCGTTGGTGATGGTTTGTGGTGCACAGACCTTCGCGGAGAAAAGATTACAGCAGATCAGGCAAAGCATCTTGCCGACGCAATCATGGCAGTTCTTAACGGAAATCAATCAATCGAACTTATTCCATTACCTCGTGAACAACTCATTGAACACTTCACCGCTCTCGGTATGGATGACAAAGTTGGTGTACTTAAGACTTGGCAGGATGATTTCATCCCTTGCATCAAGCTTGGTGAATCTATCGATTACGTTATTGAACCAATGTCTACTGATAAGGAAAGACTGAAAATCTTCGAAATTGTTCCATACAACGATGGTCTCATCGTCCGCTTCCCACTTCTTACTTCTCCAAACGAAATCAAGCCATTCAAGGATCCAATCGTCACACTCAAGATGTTCCATGAATACCATGAGTGGGCTAAGCTTATCGGTGTTGACTACATCTCCAAGCTTAACGAATTAATTTACAAGCGTAAGATTGATGAAATCAAGTGGGTTGCTGAAGGCCTTCATGATAACAAGCTCGCCTATATTGCCGACCACCTTTGTTCCAACTTCGCCACAAAGAAGGTTGTCACCATTGCTGGTCCATCATCTTCAAATAAGACAACATTCGCCAAGCGCCTTGCCATTGCCCTTCGTGTTAACGGCTACCAGTCCCTTGTCATGGAGATGGATGACTTCTACAAGAACCGTGACGATATTCCAAAGGGACCAGACGGAATGCAAGATTTCGAATCCATTACAGCCCTCAACGTTCCAGTTCTTACAGATAAGATCCACCGCCTCCTCAACGGTGAGGAAGTTCCACGCAGAAAATTCATTTTCACATCAGGAACAGGTGTTGATGTTGAAAATGAGAAATTGAAGCTCAATGATAACACATTCCTCATCATCGAAGGTATCCATGGCCTTAACCCAATCCTTCTTGACGAAATTGGCCGTGAAAAAGTTACTCCAATTTACGTTTCCGCCATGACACCAATCAACGTCGATTGCAACCACCGCTTCCCAACATCCGATCTTCGTCTTATCCGCCGTATGATCCGTGACTACAGATACCGTGGCTATTCCCCACGTAAGACATTATCCAGATGGACATCCGTTAGAAAGGGTGAAGAAATTAACATCTTCCCATACCAGATGAACGCAGAGCTCTTCTTCAACTCTGCTCTCGTTTACGAACTCCCTGTTCTCTCAATTTACGGCAAAGGTCTTCTTTCAGAAGCAACTCTCCCAGAGCCAGGAGAAGATCCAAACTCACCAGAGGCTGAGGCAATCTCCAACGAGGCTAGAAGGCTCCTCGGACTCCTCAACCTCTTCTACCCAGTTTCCGTTGAAGTTGTTCCACACATTTCGTGCATTCGCGAATTCGTTGGTGGTTCCGATCTCAAGTACTAAAAATAAATGGTTTTTTATAAAAAAATAATCAAATTTTTTTCAAAATTCTACTTAAGTAAACCATAAATTCCATTAACTAGAAAACTGAGAGGACCTCGTTTTATATACTTGATTAGATTCGAAGATTGTGAAAATCAATTTATATCTTACTAATAACTTGACTTTCTATACCATTCTGTTAAATAACTTGTTTTGTTTGTGGCATCGATGAGCTTCTCTGTGAAAGTTTAACATGATTTACTGAAAATCTGATATTTTTATTTTCAAAAATCTTTATTTTTTATGACTTTCCTTTTAATATGTTATTTTATTTGCTATTTTAATGCAGTTTGTCGTATAAATGAATCATAATTTTAAACGTAACTCCATCAGATATGAATTATAATGATGGATTACGTCATAAAAATTCATCAAAACGGAAAAATCTTAAACCAGTTCTGGAGTTTCCTCCGGATAATGACTATTTACAGGCACAACTCCATACAGAAGAAACGTATGCTGAAGCATATGAGCACTTGCAATTAGATATAGTTCAATTACAAACAGAAGTAGATGCATTACGTCTTGAAGCTGATTTGGCTGAAAAAAGAGAAAAATCAAATCAGTATGAAAACAAAGAATTTATGCAAAGACATGCTGATCTTTACAATTTCGATGTAACTGCCGAAACCCTTAGAGAAAAACAAAGCCGAATTGTTACTTTACAACAAAAAAGTTGTGATTTAGAAAATCAAATCACTCAACTTCGAAAAAATACATCTCCAACTGCATTAGTAGATCTACGAGTTGAAATTGGTCTCATTAAAAAAGATATTGAAAGATATAATGATTCAATTGATACTCTTGCACAAGAGAGAAAGAGAGTTGGAAGAGAAATCGAGATACAACGCCAAAAACTTGGTCTTGAATTCATAGGAGATAATCAACAATACATTGCTGAACTCAAAAATTTGCTTTTGCATAAGCAAGAAATATATGAACAATATAAACAAGATATACAAGATTTGAAGAAAGTTATCGAAGATGGCAACAAACTCGGATTTAATAATGAAATTTTACTAGAAAGAAATTTATCTACTGCCCAAAACAAATATAATGCTTTAATGGAACAGTATGTTAAGCAGACCAAAGAATTTGAATCAAATGAAGTGAATCAAAGGCAACAAGCGAGAATTGAGAAAAAAGTTACTCCTATTTTCTTTAATCAAGAGGATGAAGAGAAAAAGAGTTCATCCCGTCATATGGTTGGTGAATTACCGAAGCCTAAGACAACAGGATACATTCCAACACGTAATATTTCTGAGGATAATTTCGATAAGTTAGATACAGGAGAAAAGAGAGTCCAACGTGCAGGAAACAAAAGAGAATTCATTGAATCTCATAAAAATCCATCTCCTCCCAAAAATGACAAAAATATTACTGAATCTAAAGGTAAAGTTGAAGAAAAGCAACCTGAGCCTAAAGATAGCGCTAAAAATGTTGAAAATAAACCACCTGAGGTCGTTAAAAAGCCAGAACAAAAAATTGAGAATCAAAATACCAAAAATGAAAGTAATAAACCTGTTACAACTGAACAGAATAAAGAAGTATCAATATCCAAGCCACCTGCTTCAAGTTCTCAGCCAAAACAAAGTAGTTCTCCTTCAACTTCAATTCAAATGCCAACACCTTCTCCAACTGGCTTTGTTTCTTCTAGAAGGACTATCAATATCACAAATCTTCGTAATGAGCATGTTGCAAGAGAAATTTGTACAAAATTTGGAACAATTCTTAATATTACTGAAGATGAGCGATCAACTCGTGTTACATTCATCAATCATGAAGAAGCTATGAAAGCTCTTATTGGTTCGAACGGTCAGAAAGTTGAAAACGTGTTTTTGAACATAAGTTGGGGACCTGAACCAGAATCTGTGAAGAAACTTCAGTTAGAAGAGAAACCTGCACCTAAAGAAACAAAACCTCCTGTTGTTATCATAGAACCTCCAAAATCTCAAGAAAATTCAAAGCCAAAAGAACAAATTCCTCAAAAAGAACCTCCAAAACCACAAGAGCCTGTAAGGCAGCCTGATCCTGTTAAGCCTAAAGAAGAAATTAAGCCTCCAAAACAAAATGATAAAAAAGATTCAGAACCTGAAATTGAAGAAGAGATTATTGTTGAGGAATCTTCATCACTATCAAGTTCTTCGTCATCTTCATCATCTTCTGATTCTAAAAACAAAAAACAAGAAAATAAAAAGTCAGATTCCGAAAAAGAAAAGAAAGAAGAAGTTCCTGAGAAGAAAGAAACTGAACATGTTGAGAAAAAGGAAGAGAAGCCTCAAGAAAAGAAAGAAGATGTTAAAATTGAAGAAAAATCTTCGAGTAGTAGTGAAAAAGAAGAAAAGAAAGAACCAGAACCAATTGTTGAAGAAGAAATCATCTTAGATGAAAGCTCTGATGATGATTTTGATAAAACCAAAACAATTCAACCAAGTGGACAAGTTTTCAACAGTTCTTCCACTTCTGAATCAGATATCATTATTGATGAAGCATCAGATGATATAAAGGAATCATCTTCGGATCATCCAACGAAACAACAAGCAGATCCTCCTACAAATCAAGAATCTTCTGATGATGATGAAGACTCTGATGCATTTTTCTAAATAATTGTTTGTATTATTATAATAGTAAAGCGTGTCTAGTTTACACTATCTGATTTATAAGTTTTATAAACTATTATTCATTGAATTTCTGCAAGTAATGATAATTCCAATATATTTTCGATGGCAGTTAGTATCTTAATCAGCAGGATAATAATATTTTAGCAGAATTGGATAATAATAAGAAAAATACACTTATCATTTGAGGAAAAAATTAATAAATCATAGATTTAATTGTTGATTTATGAAAAGGATGAAATTTAAAAACGATCTGCTGATCTCATTTTCAATAATCTTCTAGTGTTTGTTCCAAAATAATTTTGAAAATGAAAAAACGAAAGAAAAAATTTGTGAGACTGACTCCGAATTTTGAAATTTAAGAAAAATTTGGAAAATTCCAGGATTTACTAATGCCTGGAAGGGCATTATTTTGCATGTAGATCTATGTTATAAACCAATTTTTAAATGAATGCTAAAGAGAAAGAAGAATGCTTTCATATTCTCATAATCCATATTGATTTTTTATTAGGGAATATGATTAAACCCAATACATTTTTGAATAGTATTCATCCAATATGGAAGTTACTTAAGAACATATATAACTGGAAATAATTTTTGAGCAATGATGCCAAAAATGTTATATATAAGGGATATATCATATAGATTTGGCCAAAAAGTAAAAATGTCGATAATTTCTTAGACTTCAAAGGAAATAGAAATCAAAAAAATATCAACTTCTTAAAATAAAAAATTTCTTTCCGAAAAGCATCAATGCCATAAAAGGCAGAAGCAATTTGGAAGGAGTATGAATGTAAAAATTTTTTGATTTGATTTTGTTATGAGTAATATGGTAATTCAGTTTTATTTTTCATTCAAAAGCAGTTCGGTTTAGTTTAGAAATCGAACATATCACCGAGGTCAAGTGGGGCAGCTGGTTCCTCTTCCTTGGCTTCCTCCTTTGGAGCATCAGCAGCGGCAGCTGGGGCAGCACCAGCAGCTGGAGCAGCAGATGGGGCACCACCGAGGGAAACATTCTTGATTAAATCGGAAACATCAGCCTTCTTGAAATAGTCAGCATAAAGATCTACCCAGAACTTTTCAATCTTGACGCCGGAAGCATCAAGGATCTTCTGAAGGGATTCTGCGTTGATTTCCTTGCCATCATCGTTAAGGATTAAAGCGGCGTAAACACAAGCAAGTTCTGCACTCATTGCAAAGGTCGACCACAAACCGCTAATTTTGGAAAAACTGACTTTTTGGATGAATCAACAACTAAATTGATATGAGATCGTGACAGGGATAATAATCATTGATTAATTTCTTTAAAAACTGATTTTTCATTTGCCAATTTTTTTTGAACGAAATTATCCATGGCTTATGGAATGGTAATCTCAGAATAAGATCAAATCTATTAACTCATAAATACAGGTACAATGTAATACCTTATTCTTAAAGATAAGCTTCCTAAAAGTTTATAACTATATTATATCAAAATCACTAAAAATTCGAAGCATTACAAGCAAATACTTGAAAATTATTCAAGAATTTAAGACAATCCATACAATTTTATCACACAAATTTCATTTATTTAAAATTTGATAAATATATTTCAAGAATCTACCATCATATTTGATTCCAAATTCAGCTGTGATACATAAGAATTCATTACTGCTAATACAGTTTTTTTGTTAATTTAATGAAAGAAGAAAAAATCCTTTTACTTTTTTTTCAGTAGAAGAAATTAATATTTAAGGTATTTGTTTTGTTGCATTGTTCATGCTAATTTTATGTGACAAAAGTTGTAATTGTAAATTTAGTTGTAGTCGATTTCGATTTCGCCATCGTGGTCATCATTCTTTGAATCCTGAACTGGTTGAGCAGCTGGGACTGGGATCTGAGACTTTCTTGAGAGTGAGCCGTATGTTCCCTTAGAGAGTGTTGGTCCGTTTGATGATGGAGCCTGTTCAGCGAAAGCAGCGGACTGGTGTCTTCTGAGAGAGCCACCGATTGAGCCGACTCCCATCTGTTGGACACCGGAAGCCTCGATTGGCTCAACGACTGGGAGCTTGCACTCGTGGATACCCCAAACTTCGTTAGCGTATTCTGTGATTGTTCTGTCTGATGAGAATCTAGCCATGTTAGCTGTTGAAGCAATAGACATCTTTGTCCATTCTTCCTTGTTCTTGTAAGCTTCATCGCATCTTCTCTGGGCATCGAGGTAGTCTTCGAAGTCCTTAGCGACGAGGTAGTTATCTCCGTGCTCGACTGGGTAGATGAGGCACTCGTACTCGTTGACATCACCGAAGAGGCCTGTTCTGATTGTGTCGAAAACGCGGCGGAGGCCAGCTGGAATTGGGTGTTCAGCGGCAGCGCGGTATGTGTCGACGTTTTCAGCGACTTCACCGAAGAAGAAGACGTTCTCGTTACCGATAGCGTCACCGATTTCGATGTTAGCACCATCGTGTGTACCGATGATGAGGCCACCGTTGAAGGCGAACTTCATGTTGGATGTGCCGGAAGCTTCTGTACCAGCTGTAGAAATCTGCTCGCAGACATCTGTACCTGGAATGATGATTTCAGCGGCTGAAACGTTGTAGTTTGGAATGTAGACAACCTTGAGGAGGTCACCGATGTTCTTGTCGGCATTGACAACCTTAGCGACGTTGTTGATGAGCTTGATGAGCTTCTTGGCGGCGTAGTAGCCTGGAGCAGCCTTACCACCGAAGATCATTGCACGTGGAACAAGCTTAGCGCGCTCTGCTGGTGTCATCTCGAGGATGTTGAGGTATCTGTAGATGATTGAGAAGATGTTGAGTTGCTGGCGCTTGTATTCGTGGATACGCTTGACCTGGATATCGAAGAGCTGCTTCTCTGGGTTGAGTTCGACGCCTGTTGTCTTCTTGACGAGTTCAGCAAGGTGCTGCTTGTTAGCGAGCTTGACAGCTTCCCATTCAGCGATGAAGTTTGGATCATCCTGCTTCTTTGTGAGAGCTGTGAGGCCTTCAGCGTTGAGAGCCCACTTCTCGTCACCGACAACGCGGTTGATGATCTGTGAGAGACCTGGGTTGCAGTGGTGGAGCCATCTTCTGATTGTGACACCGTTTGTCTTGTTGATGAACTTCTTTGGTTCGAGCTGGGCGAAGTCCTTGAAGACGTAGATCTTCATGAGCTCTGAGTGGATGGCAGCGACACCATTGACCATGTGAGAGCCGATGACAGCGAGGTTGGCCATACGGACCTTCTTTGGATTGGACTCCTCGATGATGGAGAGGTTGCGGATAACATCGTCTGTGACGTGGTATTTAGCGCGAACATCGTCGAGGTAGTACTGGTTGAGCTGGTAGATGATCTCGAGGTGGCGTGGAAGCATGTTCTGGAACATTGGAACATCCCACTTCTCAAGAGCTTCTGGCATGAGTGTGTGGCATGTGTATGAGAAGACCTTGCGTGTGATTTCGAGGGCTTCTAGGAGACCCATGTCTTCCTCATCCATAAGGATTCTGAGGCACTCAGCGACCATGACTGTTGGGTGTGTATCGTTGAGCTGGATGGCAGCGTACTTTGGAAGCTGTCTGATATCTTGCTTCTGATGTGTCTTGAGGCGGCGGATGATATCCTGGAGGGAAGCAGAGGACATGAAGTACTCCTGCATGAGTCTCATTTCCTTGCCTTCGTATGTGTTATCGTTTGGATAAAGAACTGATGTGAGGTTCTCGCAGCGCTGCTTCATTGTGATAGCCTGGAAGTAGTCACCACCACGGAACTTCTCTTCATCGAGTTCGACTGTTGGCTTTGAGGACCAAAGTCTGAGGGCCAATGTGTTATCTGTGCCGAAACCTGGGATGAGGAAGTCGTTTGCGACAGCGTTGATTGTAAGAGATGGCTTCCAAACACCATTCTCGCAGCGGCCATAGAAATGAACTTGATGGCAGACTGTTGGCTTCTGGATACGCCATGGGTCACCGAAGTTGAGCCAGTAATCTGGAATTTCGAGCTGGGAACCATCGGCGCCGATTATTTGCTTGAACATACCGAAGGAGTACATCAAACCGTAACCCCAGCCTGGAAGGTTGAGTGTTGCGAGTGAGTCCATGAAGCAGGCGGCAAGACGACCAAGACCACCGTTACCAAGACCTGGATCGTACTCTTCGTTGTAGATCTGATCAAGAGAAACATCGAGTTCAGCAAGAGACTTGCGGTAGAGGTCTTCAAGTTCGAGGTTAAGAAGTGCGTTTCTGAGGAATCTGCCAACAAGGAACTCAGCAGAAACGTAGTAAACTTGCTTAGCCTTTGAAGAGATGAAATACTCTTGTGTATCGTTGAAAAGTTCGATTAAACGATCACGGACTGAGTAAGAAACTGCGAGATAAGATGAGAATGCATCTAAGTTGAAGCGAGACCTTGCAAGTGTGTATTCCATGTGGTTAACAAAGGAAAGTTGAACTGAATCCTTTTCAGCTGGAATATATTCTCCCATAAGCTTCCAGAGAAGATTATGGCGGGCTTGCTCGAGGTCTTCACCTTGCGATTCTTGAACCTTGTGAGAAAGGGTGTTGAGGGATGCGTTCTTAGCCTCTGTTGGGATTGGCTTAGCATCTGGGTAGAAAGGACGAATCGTTGGATGGAGCTTTTGTGCTTGCTTCGACATTATTAAAGTGTGGTCACCAAGTATTTCAATTATTGAACACTAATTCAAATTTCAATTGGTTTACATTTTACAAATTGCAGAATGGTCGGAAGATATTCACCTTTGGCCCACTACAATATGAAGATGAGCTGATGAATGATTTAAGATTTATTTTCGAGTGCAAAAACAATCGCTTTTTTGAAACGGGAAAAATTTTTTTCAGTTTTGAATTTTGATTTAGTCACTTGTAGATCTACCCATATAGAACAACTTTTCTGCGACAAATCATCTTTGATGATATTTTATATCAGACTAAATTACCATTTAATTTTTTTTATTTGATTTGATGATTGATTAGTTTACACTATTCAATTTCTTCAGAAAATTTCTACTAATTTTGGGTAAAATCTTTTGATCGATTTTGTGGTTATTTGAGGATGAGATCGATCTCGGGTAGGTTATATGCGTGCTGTTATTAAGGCTCAATGCATTAAACGCGAATAGAAACCAAGATCGATCATTGTTTCAAATGTTTTATCAACAATTTGTGAACTATCTATTTTGAAAAGCAGCCATACGTATTAATTTCCAGAAGTGACTATTTCTTACCTCTTTAGTGCTGCTTGTTTCCTTCGAATTAAATGATATATTTTATATCATTTCGATAATAGACGAATATTGAGCGACCATCAATTTCCAAATCAATTATTCTTCATTGATTATTGGCGCTTTTCGGACTAAGTTTAAAGTTAAATGCAAAATTTCTTTTTTCAAAGAAAAATAGTTTTGAATTTTGCATCATTATTCAGTCCTAAGCGCATTAATGTATGTTTCATTACGAACTATACAGAATTATTTCCGGTAAATTCAATAATTTTTTTTTTGCAATGGGATTTCTCTTATCGATCTCCAAAATTTAGCATTAACAAGACTTAAATTTGTCCAAATGTCAAGAAGACAAACCGTTTGTTCGACGGCTTCATGTTATTTTTTCATTGAATTTTTGTAAGTCTTGCTTTCGCATTTTACTTATGTTCGCACCCTTTACAAGCGTCATTGAAGCTCATATGTGATATAAATATCCAATAATTTTGATTGTTGTCAATCAAGCAGATTACACATTAATATTTGCTTTGTTACACATTTCCTAGAGCGACCATGAGCTGTAATATGGTCTTTCACTTAATTATACGATTTCGATTTCTTATCCCTTATTAAATTGCAAATAATAGCTAACAAATTGTTTGTTTTTACTATTTTCCTTTTCTTTTTGAATTTTAAATGGACAACTCTCAAAATGATTTTGGATCTGTTTTAATTAACTTTATATTTAACTCACATAAAAGAACTCATCTATGGCCTTAATATTTGTAACTTTAATCCGAATCATTGAATAATTAAAAACATTTTTTCTCAAATTAGCTTTTTAATGCTAAAATTCTCTTATATTTTTGATTGGCAAAAGTGTGATATCAGTTAGTTAGAATATTTCACGTTAATTTCGATCAATGGTATAAAATGGGAGCACAAATCGTTCGAAACTTGGATTATTGCGATATTGTATTATAAATCAGGTCATACCCAGAGTAAAATGAATATATAACTATTAATTGGCCATCCTGAATATAAATTCATCATCGATTTTGACAATCATTTAAATTATTGGAGTATCTACTGCCATTGAAAGGATATTTCATAGGTCATGAAGAATATGACTGATAATGAAGGAATTACTGAAAAAATCATTTAGATTTCATAGAAATAGGTTAGAGAAAATCTTTGTCACTTTTTGGATTTTAATCATACGTTAAAAAATTAAATGATTGCGAGTTATGATGCTATTCTTTATGAAATGGACAAATATATAACGAAGGTAAACACTCAAATTAAGTGTATAAACCTTCTTTATCCTATATTAAAGAATCATAAAGAGCTAGAACCCCTGATATTGGGATTGAACAGAATAAATAATGCATTAAATCAATTACCAGAATCAGTAGAACTACAAGTAACTTCTCTTAAGTTCTTTAACGATCTTTTAAACAATCCAGGCCTTTATTCTTTATTAGGTAATACGGATATTTCATCATTAATTACATTTATTCTTTATTGGCAACGTGATAATGCCGATGTTAATTTAACAGCACTCGAACAAATTACGAAATTAATAAGAATTCCAAAATTAACGAAATTTTATTCCAATTCCGAATTTATTCAGAATCTTGTATACATTGCTCGAGTTAATCCGAAGTCACTTGAGCATGCAGGTCTTATTATTGAAATTTCGAAGTACATTGACCCAGAAATTAAAGAAGTTAAAGATTTATTAGCATCATTTATTCTTTACTCGAGAAATATAAAGTCGAATGAGAAGTTACAAGAAAAATTACTTGTTGTTTTTTGCCAACTTGCTACTCCAAACAATATAAATTCAATTGCATCATCCGTTATCTCCCAATTTTCAGATGTTTCATGCCAATATGAGAACAACATGACAATACTATCATATACACTTACATTACTTAATCATACATCAGAGCCAATTCCAAATTCTTTATTATTATTGACTATCAAGAAACAAAATGCGTTATTAAGCAATCCGATGAATTTACCATTATTAATTGACGTATATTCATCTAAACTTACAAACAAAACTACACCACCTGAAATTTTACCAATTGCATCTATAACTCTTGAACAGTTTTTACCAATAATTGCTGTAGCCAAGAAAGCAATTAAAGTTTGTTACAATTGTCTTTATAGTGCTGCACTTTCTTTTCCAGAATTAGTTCCAATTATTACTTCTGCAATTCAATTACACGAAGATTCAAGATCAATAGTTAGACAGGCCACTGTAGTGTTGATGTTATTATGCAGAAGCCAAGATTGTTGCGAAAACTTATCAAGTTCTACAGCAGCAATAATTTTAAATTCAGCATTGAATAAACATCAGCATGATCAGAAAACAGTAAGCATCTTATTAAATATGCTTAGTATGTGCATAAAATATTCACCAGCACAACTTGCCAGACCAGAAAAAATACAAATTATTAAATCAATTATTGAAATTTATCATGGAGATCCAGTTATTCTCAAAAACGCATTATCTGTGCTATTTACAATTGCTTCTTCCACTTATTCTGTTGAAAAATTTATAGAATTACCAAAAGAAACAAGAGAGCCATATTTTATTAGTTCAAATGTATGTAAAAAGGTAATTGATGACCATTTGAATGAATTAGATTACGTAGAACCCATTGTTCTCTTTGCAGAGCCAGTTGTTGCAAATGAATCAATATTTAATAAATCAATGAAGAGATACACAGGAGATTATGAGATACAAATATGCGGATTAGCATCAAAATTAGCTGATATGAACAATATTGTAATTGCTCTTTCTGCTTGTGGAGATAATGGAATCAGATTTGCAATTCCAACATTAGAAAAGAACGACAAACCATTATCACCACAACTTATAGAATTCTTGCTATCATTTGATAGGAATGACACCACAGAAATCTTAATCAAAGATATGAAAGCAGGAAATGAGAAAACAATGTCTTCAATATTTGAATTATGCTTTGCACAACATCTTCCTATTGCTATGTATCTTGCACAGCGTAATTTATTTAAAGTTTCTGATGCGGATGCTCAATTAATATTAACGATTTTGTCACATTCTGTCTTTAATCAAGAAATTTTAGTTGCAGCTCTTTATTTTTCATCAGATTTTGATTTACCGATGACTTCAATATCAACTCTCTTGGATGGAATGCGTAACTTCCCACAAAACAAAGATATTGTAATTCCTGCTTCACATTTCCTTGCAAGAATGGAGCCAACAGATTACATGGAACAAACATTTAATGATGCAAAAGCTGTAGGCATTTCTTCCCTCTGTTTAAGCATGTTTACTGATGATGAAGTTTGCAGTTACAATCTTTTGAAACTACTTCATTTGATATCATATTTCCCTTCACAACAAATCCAATTCAAGACATCACTTGCTATTCCAAGTATTGTTAAAGCTTCCAAATTATCTAAGCGCTGCGCAAATGAAGCATGCGAGATCTACAGCAACATTTGCGAAGATACAGATATCAGTCAGATTCTTTATACAGAAAAGGCTTATGAAATTGCTTTTGATCCATTTACACAAGCATCTTATATATTTATCTCGACATTAATGGCTAATTCTGGATTAGTGTTGACATCAGAACAATTCACAAGTGTTTATAAACATTTCTCTGGTCTTAAAAATCAGTTAAATGAAGATGAAGCAATTTGTTTGATGTCAATTTTCGAATCTTATGTGAATTCAGCTGAAAAACCTCCAAAATTAGACTTGAAGAAGTTTGTTTTAATGTTGACGGTATTTTCAAACAAGAAAAACATTGTATCATCACTCCTAAGAATCATTCCATTTACAAAAGAATTTAATCTAAGTGAACAACTTTTGTTTGCTTTGCTAGAAGTATTGAGATTGAATTTTAATGATCAATTCATCGTAACTGATACTTGCACAATCCTTCAAAACTTTTCAAAGGTGGAGAAGCATAAAAGTACATTCCAATCAGATTCAGCAACAGAACTATTATTATATATTTTAAGTATCTATCTTAGAGACGGACCAATTTGCCATACAATCTTTTCGTTGTTAAATGGAAGACCAGAAGTTTTTGGAATGGCAGCAACAGCATTGACAATGCACAATGATCCAGAAGTATTACTTCCAATTGCACAATCATTGCTTTCTAGTTCCCAAACAACAGATTGCAGTCAGCAAATGCCAAAGCTTCTAAATGCACTAAAAGCAAATGAAACTCATAGAGATATTGTTGCTTGCATTTTGCAAGTTATCTTTTTAGCAACACAAACCGAGACAGGCATAAACTACGCAGTTAAATATATACAGATGATTGCAGAAATATCTATGTCTCACATATCAATAGTTCAAGTTGCAAGATCTGCATTAGGAATCATTTCAAATGCAGCTGATGTTGAAAGCAATATTCCATCATTGCAAATTGCTGGATTATTAGTTACAGCAGCTCTTAAAACATGGGGAAGTGATCAACAAGTCGTAACTGTTGCAAGCTATATCATTGTTAAGTTTGCAAATGCAAGCAAAGGAGGAATTTTCAAACACGCAATGCCATCATTAGTTTTGTGTTTGAGAACATGCTCTGCAAAACAAGAGGAAATATGCGATGCTATTGGAGCAATGTCTCCATGGATTGGTGAATACAATGACAATGTTTCTCAAGAAGTTGTCAGAGTTTTGTTCAAGGCTAAAGATAGAGAAAATGTTCTTCAGGCAATTATGGATATATCAAAGAATAATGATATTGAAAATGCTATATTTAATAATTGCAAACCATTAATGGATCTTGCTAATGCTGCTGATACACCTGAAATAGTTTCAGCACAGATATTTGCTGTATCATCAAGAATCCATACACCAAAATTAGTACAAAGATTTGATGCTGAAATACCTTCAATAATTGAAAAGATGTCTAATTCAGGAAAAATGGCTTCAATGGCAGCAGCGCAGTTATTGGCTACTATTGCAACATTGAGACCGGATGTTATTTCTAATTATGCAACCAAAATCTATAATAACGCACCAAAAGACCCAGATGTTCAAAAATTTGTTTCTGTTATCAAAGAAAAATTGTAATTTTTATTATTTATTATGTAAAATACTTTTATACAAACAATTTATTATAATCAATAACTACATATTATAGGACATATGAATACCAATGGTTATATGATATTTGAATGATCAAATTAAGAAACTCATTTGAAATTAGAGATATACAAATAAAGTATTCTAATCATTAGACTCAAGTCTTTCTAGAATAATTTGAGCAGTCTCTGCAGATAATCTTTCAGAATGGCTTTTGGAATTTTGAAAATTGAGCCGAATTTCATGCAATTCTTCAAGAATTTCACTATTTTCAGCAACAATATTCAATATATCTTGATTTTCTGACTCTTCTGCCAATGATAGGATGTTTGAAATTGCAAGTATTGCATTATATAGAGTTCTGTGCTTTAATGAAGGGAGAATCAAAGAATAGTAATCTAAAATATTGTTTTCTAAGAGATAAGTTATCAATTCTATGTGATGATTCTGGCAAATATAAGAAATGATATTAATTGAAGTAACTCTAATTGAATATTCAGTTTCATCTTGAAAAACAGATAGAATTTTGGGAATATAGTTTTCTGAAAATAAATCTTCTCTGATTTGAATATCATGGATACATAATCCTTCAATTGCTTGCAGTATCAAGGCAAACAACGGATCGCTAATATCAACAGATTGAAATTTTTGAATAAATCCTGTTGATAAAATAATTTCTTTATCATCTGAGTAATTCACTCGTGATGAGCTTAAAACACTAGTAAAAACATCTAAGACTTCTATATTGCACGGGTCTAGCGAATTTGAAACTAGATTTAAAAAGTTTTGAGATCGTAATAGTAATCTGGCGCTATCTTTCTGTTTCTCAATAACAGTTTGTAGAAAATCAGCTGCATAATGAGCATTTTGATCGGAATTTATTAAAAAATTAATAGAATTAAGTATATATGAATCTGAGATCTGGATGTTGTGTTTAACTAATTTTCGAAGAATTTTAAACATTAAATATGAAAGTGGATGATTTTGATCTAATAAAGTTATTAAATTTTGAAAATATTTTGATGAGAAAAGATATCTTGCATTTGCTTCAGATTTAATATGATGGGAAACCAAGTTTAATAAACCAGAGTTTATCAATTGACTTGTTTCTAGGCAATTTATAAAATTTTTGAATGAAATAATGCCATAATGAATGTAGATATTCAAAATATTAAGTGAAAACAAAGCAGATACTCTATCTTGACCAGTTTGATTTATCATCATCGGTATCGAATTTTCTGATATATTCGGGATCAATTTTTTAGTAAAACAATCACTAAGAACAGCATCATACATATTAGGTGGAACAGTTTCAACTATTGTTTCAGAAAAATTAAAGGATAAGTCATCTTCATCTTGTTCGATTATATCCTGGAATGAATAATCATCATCAGGTTTACTTATTATTTGGTTTTGAAAATCATCCTTCTTTTCTGGTTGAGGATTCATTGATCAAGTCAAATGTTGAATCTAATTTGAGGACTACTTTCAAAAAATGAATCTAAAACAAGAGTTTTATTAATGTGTATTATATTACTATATCAATCGTCTATTTAAATTTAGGAAGTAGTTCGTCCAAAATATATTCCGTTCATAATTCAATTTTGAAAGCATTTAAATACTTTACACGGAATAATAATCAAATGTCAAAAACGTTATTTAATTTTCTAAAAAATGGATATGCGTGGCCCCCCGATGAAGATTTTAGTCATAATCTCTGACCCAGATTTAGACGAAAAATCTCCATGCAGATCAATTGTTGCACAATCAATCAATACACTTAAAAACAACGGACATACAATCACTGTCACAGATCTCGCTAAAGATGGATGGAATGAAGTCCTTTCTGTGAAGGATTTCACAAAAGTAAGTGATCCTATTCATATTAATATTCGTTTAGAACAACAAATTTCTCCAATTATTCCAAAGATCAAAGAAGAACAGAGCAAAGTATTAGATTGTGATTTCCTCATGATATTTGGCCCTGTCTCATGGTTTGGCTTACCATCTTACTTCTACGCTTGGTGGGATAGAGTTTTTACACATGGTTCTATGTATTCTCCAGGAACTATGTTCGGAAAAGGTGTCTTCTCAAAGAAGAGAGCCATCGTTGTTGCTACAACAACTAGTACAACAGAAATGTTTGGCCGTGAATCGATATTTGGCCGCTACGAACAAGTAATCTATCCAATTACACACGGCATGCTTCATACAGTAGGATTTAAAGTACATAGAAGTCAGCTTCTTTATCTTAAACCAAATCAACCAAATTCAGAAATTATTCGCGATTGGGATGGAAACCTTAACAATATTAACCAAAGAACATATATTGCTTTCAACAAACCATCAGATTATACTAATTACAAACTTACATCTAAGGATCCAATGAATGACTTCGATAAATTAGATCGTTTCGGAGATATGGCTGTTACTGAAAATGCTAATTAAAATTGCTTTTATAATAAAATTATTTTTTTTCCCTTCTACTTAAAATCAAAATTTCATATTTCTAAGAAATTGAGATAAAACAACAAATTAATCTAAATTACAAGATAGAATCAGAGATTAATTATTATTTCACTGTTACATTTTAATACTCCACAATAATGCGCAGTTTTGCTTTAATCAAATGGAAAATAATAAAATTTAAGGGCGGACTTACGCCCATCTGACTTTCATTCAAATTTCTGACTATCACTGTGAAGTTCCATTGAAAATTCACCTTAAACACCAGAATTGAAGGCCATTCCATAAAGGCATAAGTGTCTACTTATAGGTTATTTCTTATTGGAATACAATAATGTAATATCGTATTATCTTTCTCATTATCATATAGTTTTACTCTATATGAATAGTATATGCATACCGCTAGTAATCTTAATGAAATTTTAAAACATATTATAAAAATCACTCGAAAGAAATTAAACTTTAAATATTATTCATTTATTGCTTTCACATAAAGCAAAACTGAAGATTTTTTTGATCCATGAAAAGCTATTATCAGATACTGTCACATTATTCTCTGGTTCTTCTGTGACAACAGAAATACATGCCCCGTGAGAATTGAGAAATTCTGTCATTTGATTGTAATTTTTTTTCTGGGAATAATAAAGAGCTGTTTTGCCCATATTAGTTTCAGCATTGACATTTGCACCATTATTAATAAGCAGCATAACAAAATTTAAACAATTGGATTTGGCTGCATAATGAAGGGCAGTCCATTTATCATTGTCCACTCCATTGACATCTATTCCATGTGAAATAAAGAGCTCGGCCAACTCTTGAATATAAAACATCCCTTCCCAATGAAGGACCGTTTTCCCGTGGCTATCTTTCAGATTAATATCCGCATTATTTGATATAAGAAGTGGCACAATATGTGTATCATAATTAAACACTCCATAAAAAATTGGTGACCATCCTTCTTTATTTTGAATATTGATATCTGCCCCATGAGAAATTAGATAAAAAGATAAATATTCATTACGGTCACTTACTGCATCATGGAGAGGCGTCATGCCATTAATATCTTTTACATTGACATCAGCACTATGAGAAATAAGATATTCTATTATTTCTTGATGTTGTCCTTTTACTGCATAATGAAGTGCAGTTCTCTGTGATTCATCTTTTGCATTGATATCTGCACCACGATTAATAAGGAACTTTAATATTGATAATTGATTGTTAATTGTTGCAGAATGAAGAGCTGTCAAACCATACGTCTGTTTCGCATTTACATCTGCTCCATTGGTAATAAGATAATTCGCACATTTTAAATTATTGTTCAAAATTGCAGTATGTAAAGCTGTTTTTCCAAATATATTTTTTGCATTGATATCTGCACCATGAGAAATGAAATATTGCATAAGACTTGAAATATTGAAATAATAAGAGTTGGAAAACCATTTGGAAATATCCTTATCTCGATCCAAATATACAAAAAATGCCTGAAGGTTGTTATAATTAATACAGTCATTAATAGCAATTGGTATTTTATATTCGCACATCAAAAAAGTAACAAAATCGATATTATGAGAAATTATGGAATATTTCATGCAGCTATTATCGGGTTGTTCCACCTTCAAGCATTCATTCAAAATTTCTGGGTTTCCACTCAAAAACGAAAATCTTAGACATTGTATTGTTATTTTTGGTTTGAATTTTGTCATTAAAATCTAAAAACAATTAATAGCTCCGTGGTAACAACATAGTTCAAGTAAAGAAAATCCTTTATATGAATCAGGATATAAATCACTTACAGTAATTTATTCTCGTAAGATCCATCACTTTCAATTATTGCAATGAATGATTTATTATCATCTTCCATAATTGCTCTGTAAATTGAACCTGGCTCATGAATTTCTAATGAATACTTTTGACACTGATTGTGATAATTAATACCAAAAACCTCAGAATTGAGTTCATCGGATATATGATAATCATTAAGGATCTTTTCGAATATAAACCAATATGATTTATACGAGCCATTGTTGTATTTGGATGCACATATTATCTCGTCGAGAATCTTTTCTGGAGAACAAATTTTGGTATCAATTAATTTTCTTTTGATTTCATTGTAAAAGTTATTTATTTCTTCTTCATTGAATCTCCTTATTCTGTACAATTCACGAAATAGATTACAATAATCTTTACTTATCTCCATGAGCTCAATATACTGAATTCCTTCCATTTTTAAAAATTTTTTTCAGAGCAATTTCCTTATCATATGGTTGTTAGAATAGAAAATGGTATCTCAAACGATTCCAATCATTAATGTTAAAAATAAGAAGTGAAAAAAAGTTGTAATTTTGAGGATTATTTCAAAACACGGATCCTGATGAAACATTGCATTGAATTTATTAAACATAAGATTGTTATTTCTTTTTTCAGATTGAAAAAGAGATTTAAGTCAATTTTTAAATTTCATCATATTTTAATCTTTGATTTCATATTTCATCGACAAACATTGCAAAAAATGTTAAAAGTATAGAAACGTTACTTTATTTTATCTAAAAATAGAATTATTATTTTTTTTTAATTTAGCTAGCACTTACATAAAAGAGAGGCAATTCAATTTTTAGCTAGCTTTGAGCGTCTCTTAAGTTTAAGAAGAGACCATCTATTGTAATATATATATACACATAGACTGATGCATATACATTCATTCTTGGATATTTTGAGGCCTGAAAAGTCAATGAAAGTCTTCGTGATTTCTTTAGGAAATTAAGAAGTTTAGAAAGGCAGATTTGTGTGCATGGAGAGTTAAAAATACTAAGTTTTAAATTATATATAATAAGTACTTTAATAAATAATAATAAAAGATATTTATTGGAGTGCAGACATGAAACCGAAGTAATCGAAACCTAATTTGTTCTCCCAACGTCTCAAAACAGTAGCAATCTCATGTTTAGGCATTCCGATTGATTCCATGATGACTGCCATATCAGAAGGCTTAACTCTACCCTGCAATTCTGGGTCCTTTGCCTGGAAAGCCTCATGCAAAGAGTCAACGACATCTCTTTGTTGTCTGAGAGCGTTGATGATATTAGAAAGGTCAGAAGATGGGAACTGATCGGCATCAGCTTCCATGAATCCAAGAGAATACTCATCAGCTTCCGTAGTGATGAATGTGAAGCTGTTGATTGTTAGTGTTGCACCAATCTTGAAATCTGATGCAGCAAATGTCTTTCCTGTTGCTGGATTTGTTAATTTCGTTCTCTGGATGAATTTGCCTTCGCGGAAACCACTGTTTCTCATTGGCTTCTCGTAGACAGCAACTGTGTCGTCCATAAGGAAGAAGGCAATGACGAATCGTCTCTCGCGGTCTTGTGGAGCTGGATTGAGGAACTGTGCAGAGAATCTGAGAACTTTGCCATCGTTGTTGAGGAGTTTGATTGTATCTTTCTTCGGTGGCTTTGGATGTAATGATGTGCAATAGCCGGCGGAGTCTTCTGGATCGCCCCAGCCGTTGTATTCTGCAATGACGCGCTTCGATTTATCCATTTCGGCCTGGGCTTCGTCATCGCTATCACTATCGTTGATAGCAGAGGTCCAGTCGTGGATACCGTACTTGTCGTCGAGGTAATTGCGTGTAAATGGATCTGCATCGTAGATAAAGAATCTGCGGTTGTAAACTTCGATTGTTTGTCCGACGTAGAAGTCTTGTTCTTGGTACGGCTGCTTTGTTTGTGGGTTGATAAGCTTGGATTTCTTGAGGAAATTGGCAACGTTGTCGCGGCCAGAGTTTGGTGGAAGAACTTGTCTGATTTCGATACTGCCATCGACAAGGAAGTAAACAAGAACGAAATTACGTTTCTCACCGAACATTGAACCTGTATCGTCCCATGTGCAGTAGAATCTAAGAACTTTGCCATCGTATTCGAGGAAGCGCTTGAGATTCTGCTTATCTGCATTAACACGAGAAACACGAATTGGGCGCTCTGTAAGTTTCCTCTTGACAGTGAAAATGTCATCTGGAGCCTTCTCGAACTCGCCGAGTTGCAAGTCGTGCTCCTGGAAGTATCTTTCTGTGAATTCATCGCAAGCGTAGATATGGTATGTGATTCCATAAATTTCATAGTTTTGGCCAACATTAAAGTCAGCTGCAACGTATTGGTCGCCAAACTGTGGAGCATCTGGCTTGAGAGCGCGCATTCTTTTAAGCAAAACACCTTGATCGATTCCAGAATTGCGTTGTTTTTGTTCTTCAATCATGATTGTGTTATCTTCCAAGTAAGCATAGATTCTGACATAGCGAATTCTTGATGTTTCGTCGTTTGATTCTGTAACTTCTTCGCGGAAGTAAGCGTAAAATCTTAAAACACCAGGTGGAACCATGGCTGTTGGCAATGGATTATCTGCAAATGTTTGTTGTGCCTTAATATTTCCTGTTGATGTAAGCATTGGCTCTGTATACCTGATTTTTGTGGAGTGCTCGTTGATATGTTTTTCAACGTGTTCAACTGTTGGAGGCCTTGGCAGCATATAACCGTACTGAATCTTGTTGTGTTGAGGTCTAAGCATTGCATAGCTTCGAGGATCTCTAAAATTTAAGCCAGGAAGGTTTGGAATATCGCTGCTCATTCTATAACGGTTTTTAGGTATCTAAAAAAAAACTAATAACGTACAAAAATTATTTCATTCATTTCTTATTTCATATCAAATATACATAAGTCATCAATATCAAACAAACTCTTAAATCGTTTCATTACTCATATAATATTTTTTCATAAAAATTATATCATGCTTATTACTAATATTATCACAAACAATATGTAAAAAAAGGAAATTCAAAACCATATTTAAGATTAACAATATCAAATTAAAGCAATCAAATCAAAAATTTTTTATTGAAGAATTAATATCAAGAAATTAGGATGATATTTTCTTGTAAACAGGAAAAATAAACGCTTCAAATTATTAAAATGATCGAAAAATTAATTAAGAGAAATTTTTTATATACTATGGATATTTGATCATGATTACCATCCTTCACCGAGAACATCACGTCCCATTTCTTCCTTAGGACTGACATATCTGTAGAATCTTTCACGCTTCTTAAGGCGCTCTACTTGATCCTTTGTAAGATCGAAATCTAAGTGATTGTTCTTGTAAATTCTTTCTGGCGTAACTAACTTGGCAAGTAAGGCTGCTCCTGGTTCAATCGAGAGCAAAAATCTTAATTCAACTTCACTAACAGTTCTTCCAGTTTCCTTGGCGATTCTTACAAGTTCTTCATCTTCAAGAAAGATTGGAGCACCTGGTTTCTTGAGATCAGCTGTGCCAAGTGTTGAATAACCTGTAATAAGAATTCCATTTTTGTGGCAATAGTTGCGGAGAGCACTCTGTTGCATGTAAAGATGGAATTCGATCTGATTTGTATAAGGAGTAAGTTTGCAATCTGAGTATTTGAGTCTCTCAAGTTGGTTTACAGTGAAATTGGAAACGCCAATTCTCTTGACAAGTCCCTTTTCAACAAGCTTTTCCATTTCTTTCCATGTATCAATAATGGAAACAGTATCATCCCACTGCAATTTGCCGTCAATGAGAGGGAATTTATCGCCTCCTGGCTCTGTAGCCATGAAAGCACACGGGTAGTGCATTAAGTATAAATCCAAGTAGTCGAGCTTGAGATCTTCAAGTGTCTTACGGCAAGTTGCTTCGACATGATCTGGTCTATGCTGAGTGTTCCATAATTTGGAGGTAATCCAAACGTTTTCACGCTTAATTCCAGCCTTCCAGCATTGCTCTAATGCCTGACCAACGATATCTTCGTTTCCATAAGCTCCTGCACAATCAATATGGACGTATCCAGCTTCTTTGATGGCATATACAATTGCATTGACAAGATCTTCTGATCTGGGTGACTTCCATGTTCCAAGACCGATTGTTGGAATGCGATTCATTAAAAATGAGATGATTTGAATTCTCTCAAATTTGAATGATGATCAACAAAATTTTTGAGAGGTTGAATCAAATGGTTTTATCGTAATTGAATATTAAAAAGATATTTACGGTAGAATTAGAATAGCCTTTTTTGTATTCATTCAATAAATATTCAATTTTTTCAACACTCGTGTTACAATTTTTCTGACCATATTTTCACTAGTTTATCTTGAAAAATTGATGGGTAAGCAAATTTCATGCTTCGTTATTCAATACAGTGAGTTGTTTCATAAAATCTAGAATTTTATAATTTTTTTTACTCCTTGAATCAAAACAACCCACACAGCCAATATAATTCAGCAATACTATTGGTCTAATGACGTTCTTTGTTCAAAATGTCCGATGAAGAATTAGATTCGTTTGTTAGACTAGAAAAAGAACTTGCTAAGGAAGTGTCGCTTACTGATTCTAGCAATAGTGATGATTCTGCCTCGTCTGATTTTGAAAATCCTCAAGAATTTAAGCAAGAATATGCCGAAATATTAAAATCAATTGATCAAAAAACACGATTATTAGAAAAAGCAGCATCAAAAATAGCTCGAGATAATAAAAATTTGAAAATTCAACGAGAAGAGCTCGCAAAAGAAAAAGTATTATTCGAAAGTGAAAAATTACTCACGAACGTTGATATTGATGAGCAGTTTGGCAAGCTTTCAAACAAATACAATAGCTTACAAGAAAAATATACGAGTTTGCAAAAGAAATTCAGCACAGAAAAACAAGAATGGGAATCAGAAAGGAAAGAACTTTTGAAGAAGATTGAAGAGCAAAACAGTATAATACAATCACTAAAAGAGCAACAATTATCTCCAATTAAGAAGCAAAACTCTCCAAAAAGAAATTCACCGCAAAAAATACCATCTGTTGTTGAAATTCAGCTAGATGAATCAGATGACGTAATAGAAGAAGTACATCCAGTCGTATCTACAGAAGTTCCAGCTAATAATAGCAAATCAAATCACTCAATAATTGTCGACCAAGATTCTTTTGATTCATTACCAGAACCAACAGGTGGAATCATTATAAATATGTCTCCAGCATCCACACCAAAGAAATCCCAGTTTACTCTAAATCATGATGATTATCCATTAAATTTTCAACCAAGACCAATAAATATTATCAAAAAAGTCGTCAGAAAAGATAAAAAGAAGGCTATTCAGTTCGATGATGGAACAAATGGAATATTATTTACTAACAATTCGCTGAAAATTGTGAAAAACGATTGTATATTCATTTATTATCCAAATGGAGACATTTCACAACAATTCCCAGATGGAACAATTGGATATAAATATAAAGATAAGAATACAATTGAGTTAAATCTCGCAGACGGCTCAGTTTTCTACGAATTTCCAAATGGGCAAAAGGAAAAGCATCTTCCAAATGGAGATAAATATATACAGTTCCCAGGTTGTCCATGCAAGCTTGTAAAACCAAATGGAGAATCAATTATTATGTAATATTTTTATTTTTTTTAAACATGCATTGTTTGTTTCATCAAATAAGACATTTTTATTCATAGCTGTCATTTGATTTAAATATTTTCTCAATTATCTTGGCACGCTAAATTAGTTCATTAAATGTTAGAGTATCAGGAGCTTTGCATTCATATAGTGAATACATTTGTGATAGCAATGCTCATACATACGCAAATATAACAAATTGACTACTGAAACAGATAATTTTTGATCTCTTTTGGGAAATTTCCAACGATTATTTTCATTTCAATGTTTTTGTTTTTTATTTTATCTTCAACATATTCAAGGAAAGATGAAACAGTGACACCCATTCCTGATAGTGATAGTAATGAGACAACTGAATCTCATAATATTACTAAAGAGAATGTTGAATTTTATGTTCAATTTATGAGACCACATGAAGGACCATCTGATGGTGGTTTTCAGATTGCTGTTCAGTTTGATCCAGAGGAAAAAGGTCCAATATATATTAGATTTGATAAATTAATAGTGAAAACTCATCATGAACGAAATGGATTGTTTTCATGTTGGTCACCCGAGCACGAACCAAGAAATGTAACTGTTGATGCATCAAGAGATAAATTTCATTGGATTAATGCCGGATATATAATTTATCACAAAGATTATACATATCAAAAGGCAGTTATGATTGTTATATTAGTTGTGTTAGGGTTAATCGGATATCCATATTTAAGAAAACTCTATCTTAGAAAATATAAGAGAAGAAGAAGTGATTTTGCAGAAGATGAAACGCCATTGAACGAGAATGATAAAAATCACAAATTTGTTTAGTTAACAAACCTTATAAGACAAAATTATTCACAAAAATTTCAGAATATCTGGATTTTATTCGGAAATCTAATGTTAGAAGTGCATTTATATCTTATGATACATAGTCGTGCACAAATAAAATTCATTGCATCCAAAATTTTTGAAGAATTTAAGATTTGCAATTATTGACTAACAGAAAGAAACATGATATGCTTGTCTTATCAAAAGCACCTTTTAGAAAATAAAAAAAAATCTATTAATTAAATATATCCCTTTATCTATATTCAAAGAATCAATCGATTCAGTATGATTGGCAAAAAATCTTGAATAATACAGGTATCTTGATTAAAATTCTATTGCCATCGACCTTTACACTGTTAAATTTCATAATTTATTTCCAAAATTTTTGTGGTGGTTGTTTTCCGCATGATTAACATAGTATTTTTTCTTTTAATGAATTTAATGGGTATTTTATATGGTAAAATACAAATTTGGCATTTTTTAAAATTATTCAGGTGGGATCAAGACATTTATCCAAACATATACAGTGAAATGCGAAGTAAATATGAATACTACATTGATTCATATAATAAATGATATCAGCTGAAAACAGAAACAGAGAAATTATGAATAATTCCAAAGAAAGACTCATCACATTCACTGAAAGAAATGGATTTGATAAAAATCAAACACTTGAAAGCGATTTATATCCATATACTAAGAAAGAATATGTCTGTTTCCATGGAGCAGTTGATTATTTCAAGTTATTATGAACAAAATTCAGCTCAGAAATATCTCATAATATCTAGAATTTTCATTTCTAGGAAGAAACAAAGAGATTATGAGTAAATGCTTGTAATATCAGAAACCAAATGGAAAATGCATGGAATATGCAATTATTTCACACAACATTGATTTTGATACATTCGTAATGAATGAATACAATATAGAGATCGATTTGAAAATTTGTGGACTTTACAATAATTTTGAATCCTTTTTAGCTTATTTCGATCAAATTAAGGATGTAAGCAAATGCTATGCTAATTCACAGATTTTTTAATATTCTATCCCTTATCAATGAAAAAATAGAGATGAAGAAACCGCACTTCATTATGCAGCATGGAATAATAGTATAGAAACTGCAAAAGTTCTTATTTTGCATGGTGTGGATGTCAATGAAAAAAATAAAGATGGTGATACCGCATTTCATTTTACAACACGTGAAAATTCTTTAAAAATCCATTGTTTGCTTAATAATTTGAAATAATCCAAAAATTGTTTATTTCTTGATCGATTGGATATTGAAGAAGTCGTCAGATCTTCAATTCTCATAGTTCGTTGATAAAGTGCCTATTATCATCTCCAAAATATATTTTCATTCGTTTTATGATATGAAATTATCTCATCAACTTAAATAATAAAATTTAATAAATTAAACAAAGCTTTATTCAATCATATTTTGAATAAGCAAATATGTCTTTTTAACTTTCTATTTAATAATAGAAAAATTTCTTTCCCGCCGCATATTTCTTTCTAATAACTAATGTCTTGAACCACTTATCTTTGAAACATGAGAAACAGATCGACTTGATCTCAATCCTGACGAAGTAAGTAATGTTGGACGTGAATGATTTTGAGTTATTCTTCTGCTTGAATTTAATGGAGTTTTTGGAGCATTTGCTGCTAATTTCTTTGTTTCTACTTTAGGAACATCAGTATGATTTTCATGAGGATGAGCTAAGATTGCTGGTTTATTCATTTCTCTTATATCATTTTCTGCAGATCTGAATGCTGTTGTGTCAATTGATTTTCTTGATCTTGAAATCTTTATTGGCTTAGGAGGTTCTCTAATTCCTATTGCATTATCATCATTTGCAATAGTTTCCATTGGTTTCTGGACAATTGTTGGTACATTTTCTTCATTAACTTCTGGTTCTTTTTCATCGATTCTTGGTACATTTTCTTCAATTTTTGGTTTAATTTGTTTAGTTTTATCCATTCTTTTTGAGAAAATATAGAAGATATGGAAGTCTCTATCATTTGTTACCCATGAGATTCCAAAGCTATCATAATCTCCAAGAGCATCATTTCTGAACTGATCTTCATTATCCCATACAGAACAGTAGTTCTTTACTGCTTGCAAATCTCCTTCTTTATGTATGAATCCTGTTTTGAACTTCTCAACATTCTTTCCGATGGACATTTCAACTACGTTTTGTGCCGAGAGATTATTATTTTTAACATTCATTTTTAATTGTTTCAAGGAAAGATCTTGTAATGATTTTGACCATTCAATCTTTGGACAATTAGATAATTTTCTTAATTTATCAATTGAATTAATATATGTTTGAATAATTGTAGTTTTGATAAACTCCTTTGGATTCATATTTGCTAAAATTAAGATTATTATATAATGATTTTGCTTTTTTGATAAAGTGATTCCAAAATGAGAATATTTACAATCTAGTAAACCAACAACTTCTTTATCATTTCTTATGAATCTGCAAAAATCAGTTAAATTGAATTTTTCGGATTCTCCTGACTTAATCCAAACAAATGGTTCTTTATATTGAATATTATTTCGAAACCATTTACGAATGGAATTCTTAGTCTCGTCGATATTGAATTCAGTTGGATTTTTGATGTGATTCGTAGCCAATGCATTCAGAACCGACTTATTAACAATTTCACTTTGACTTCTCACTCTAAAGGTGTTGAGGAATGAAGTGACTTTTGCTATAACATCATCATTTCCCATGACAATATTAATTTAATTGTTTTTTTTTCCAACGAAGTAGCAATTTTTTGAGAAATTTTTCTGACTATTTTTCTATAACAAAATTTCGTTCATATTTGGTAACTTGGGTCGTATAAAATTTTTGCGAACGGTATCGTAAATATAATGTCTGGTTATTGGATCCAAGTAATGCGTTTATCACTTATATTTTCCGCATCTCCATTGTGATCCCAATATTTTTGATCTGACATTAAAGTCGATCAATTTCAAATAATATTGTATAGAAATTTAAATAATTATTGATGTGTTGTTCTAAATAATTTTTGAAAGATCAATGTCACTTTTCTAATTTTGAGCGATTTCTCAATTTATGGGATAATTTATGTGGATCTATCTCGGAATATAAGATGTTTGAGGTGAAATATCCTTCAGATATATGCATCCATATGAATTTATATTAATATATCTATAAACGAGAGCTTTAAATGAATTATCCATTATTTGTCATGCTGTGATCATTTTTTGTAAATAACCAAATCTATAGAATATTAATTTTTTTATTCATGAATAAATTTCAAAGCAATTACCGAAAGAATAATAATAATGACCGATAAGATAGAAACAAAGGCCAAGAGAACAATATGAATTGTAGAATTAAATCCATTGACTTCCAAGAATGGAAGAGATTGATTGACATTTTCATAAGTAGTTGCATCTGTAATTTGCTCATAAATATGCAAGAATGTCGGTCCAAGATATAAACGATTATCCAATTTATAAGTTGGTTCATACTCTCCTTCCTTCGCATATCTATCAACATTATTAACATCGCTAATATCCATGGAACAATCCTCCTTTGTTCCTGGAGCATATGATGCTGTGGTTATACATAAGTTGAATAATCTATCAATTTTTAAGAATCGACCATCTGATTTATCTGAATTTACAACAATTCTATAATATTTTGAATTTATAAGTGTATCAGCACTAATTGCTTTGACAGTTTCCAGTATTTCATATAAACTTCCTTTTTCGCTTAAGAAAAACATCAATCCTCCTGTTTTGTTCATAAAGCAGTTGTTTTCAATGTAATATACTGGATGTCCCCCTTCACTGAATTTAAAGTTTATATTATATGAATTTTTGAAACTTGTTCTATTAATATGTCTCAGTGAATTCGGAATTAAAATTTCAGAAAGACCGACATTTTCAAATGTACAATCACATATTTTCATAATTTTGTCATTGAAAATAAAGCTTGTAAGTGAAGTACAGTTTGCAAAAGCATAATCATCTATGATCTTCAAGTTCGGAGGACAATTGAATTCAACAATTTTTGAACACATAAATGCTTCCATGCTAATCAATTTCAGATTATCTCCTAAATGTAAATCAATTCTGCTTTGGCCGCATTTCTTAAAACATAATGGAGGAATTATAAGTAACTGTGAAAGATCAACGTCAACAAGTGAGTTGCATTCTTCGAAACAACTTTCATTAACAATACGTAGTTGATTATTGAAATCAAGTCTTTGAAAACTGGCGCACCCGTGGAAACAATGTGAACCCAATGTATTAATAATAACATTATCAGGAAGCTTGATTGATGTTAAATTAGTGCAGAATGCAAAACAACCATCTGGGAAAATATTCGTTTTGTTATTAATTACTATGGTTTTAACACTTGTGCAATATGAAAACATACCTGGTGTCAATTTGACATTTGAATCGACTATGATTTTCTCCAAATTATTTGTAAAAGCAAATGCATAATAATTAATGAATTTCACATAATCAGGGATAGTAAATTCTTTGGCTTCCAATCCTGCAGGATATGCATATAGTGTTTCTCGATTTGAAGTGTAGATGACTTTGTCAATTGATACGAAATTATCATTATTAACAATTACAAATTCTTTCAAATTTGGATTATTATAATATGAAGGATTAAATTTAGTGACTTTCTGTGTAATTGTTACCTTCTCGCAATATGGTACATGGCAGTAAATAAATCCATCATAGACTAAGTAAATGTCATCTATTGGTCTCCAGAATTCGTCCCTTCTCTCATAAATATTTGAATTAATTATGAGTTCTTTGATTTTTGATTTATAAAATGTTTTCATACCGATACTATCTACTTTTTCTAAGTTTATATATGTTAAATTTGTTTGGGAGAATGCATAATCATTTATTACCTTAATTGAACTACATAAAGTTACTTCTGTTAAACTTTCACACTTGTAGAATGCATGAGAATTTATACCTTCAATTTTTGAATCTTCTAAGAATGTGACTTTTCTTAAGTATTTACATGCTGTAAATTTTGGAATTCTTGCTGCATTAATTGTTAATTCAGTAATGGACGTATGTTCTAAAGGAGAATGCTTATCTGAAAATGTTGATATTTCTGGAAACTTCAAATTGTCATTCCAGATGTTTATATCAATCAATGGACATAGTTCAAAACAGCTTTGCTCAACAAACATTTCATGGTCTCCCCAACCAATAATGGTTTTCAGTTTCGGACAGTTAAAGAAACTATTTCTTCCAATTTTTGTGCACATTGAAAGATCAACAGTTTCGATTTCTGGAAGGTCACCAACATATAAAATGTTTCCGATATTGCTTGGTAACTTCTTAAGATTGGGAAAGCCTGCAATATGAATGTAAAGTTTGGCAGTTAAATCATCTGGTATTATTATTTCAGAAAAATTAAAATCGTTCAGATATATATAATTTGAATCACTTGTGTATTCAATTGTTTGAAGATCAGGGAAAAGTCGACTTCCATCTAATGGAGAACGGCTAAAATCGTAGTCTTCATAGCTATATAATATTAATCTTTTAAGTGGTAACTGTTGAATTGATGAACTGTGTAATATTCGTGAGTTTGCAATAATCTCCTCCAGAGGAACTGATAATAATGTTGAACTGGGCATATAGTAATTTGAACGGTAATCATATTCAAATGTTTTAAGTGATGTGCAATAACCAAACGCATAATCACCAAAACTACTACAATCTGAAACAAAAGAGGTAAGTTTGACACAATTATAAAATGCATAATAGGGAAGTGATTTAAAATTTTTTGGTAAATTTACTTCAATCAAAGAAGTATTAGAGAAACATGCATCATCTAGGGATTGAATGCTTTGCAAATTCACTGATTCAAGATTAATACAATTGCAAAATGCATTTCTATTAATATAATTTATATGATCAAGATTGATTTGAGAAATGGAAGAGTTAGAAAATGCATTTTCAGATATTTCCGTAACACCCTGAGATAATATAACAGTTTGTATGTTTTGATTGTTTGCAAATGCATCTCTAGGAATAGAATTTATTTGATCTGAGAGAATTTCTAGGGAATTAATACTTTTTAATCCTTCAAATATTGGCAAAGATTGCATTGTATTACCGATAATAAGCTTTGTAATGCCTTCGGACTTAATTCTGGATGAGATTGTTTCTAAATCATCAGTATTTTCAATTGTGATTGATTTCTGTGCTTCCATATTATAGACAATTTCTTTACTTATCAATGAATATAGCATAACTCGATTTAACATGTCTTTTGTTTAGTATTTCAGAAAATTTTTAAAATAATAAATCATGACTTTTCAGAGGATTGAGAATTTCTTAATCTTCTGAAAATATCCCAGTGATTTTGTGCGATAAAGCTTATTTGGTATATATAAATATTTGTGTATGAATCATTCTATCTCAGAAAATTCAAAGAACGTAGAATCCATGACACCTAAAATCCATAATTTATTTCCACACTTGACAAAAGTCATCTATAATCATTGTATTTAAGAAATACAGCCTGTCTGAACCGATAGGAAATTCATATTTTCATAAAAATCAACTAAAAATATAAAATTTGAGCATAAAATGTACAAGAGAATAATATGAATATAAAACCTTAAAAAATTTCACTTTTCACAAACTGAAATGTCGTTGAGTCCTTTGAGGGCATTAAATATAATCTATTATCCGGCAATAGTATGATTTTCATATTAGATCGAATTTTTATGGGCATTACATTGTAAAATTAAATTGAATTCTTTACAAAATCTTCACTCTCTAATCTCAATAATATTACAAATAAATAAACAAAATATACTAATATTCCCTTAAAATCTAACCGCTTATCCTTTCAATTTTCGATATTTTTAGCCTGCTAATTTTTGAATATTGAAAAATTCAAATAAACTTGAACAAAGAGCAATCGTTTTATTACCTACAGTTTATTAGTACCGCGTAAAGTTGAATTATGGGATTCTAAGTTCAATTTTGAGATAAAGCTGAAATTTCATAGTCAATGATTGAATGAAATCATCTTTTGAATAGATACTCAAAAATTAAAAGATGCACTTTCAGCATTAAATATATTTTTCCCAACATTGCTGAATGGATGAAAAACGAAAAAATTCAATAACAATTTCTATTTGAGTTAAGTTTTGAATCCAAAAATAAAGGATTTATCCAATTCTTATAATCTTTTTGAGCTTGTAAACTTTTCAAATGAGGATTTTATTTTTACTTGAAACATGTTTTCCTGTATTATCACCAAGCATTTACTAAAGAAAACTGTAACTATAGAGAGTCAAGTTACAATTACAGGTACAAAAATGATTTTAAATGATAATTCAGATTTCGTTAATTCTGAAGAACTTCTAACTCGAATGCAAAACGAAAACATAGATACAATAAGGCTTGAAGGGTCATCGATAACTGATTTTCCAGCCTTTATTGGTATTCAAATGGTAAAATCATTTGAATGTGATATAACTTGCGATATTCCAGAGTATTACTTTAGTCATAATCAAAATATCAAAACAGTTATCATCGGAAATAATGTAGAAAATATCAAAAAAGAGGCATTTTCGTATTCTACACTTGAATCTATTGAAATTTCAAGTTCAACTAAGATTGGAGAGAATGCTTTTGCATATTGCACTAATTTGAAAGTTTCTAATATTCATCAATTAGGAAATGGAGTTAGTATACATATCATGGGTACTGAGGCACTGCGCGTCTCCTTACCCCTGATATGTGAATTTGACACTTTACGAAACCGTTAACGTATATTTTACAACACAACGACAACACTAACTTAACCTTAAATATTTACAAAGCCACCAACCACTTCACCTCACTAATGTTTTCACAAACGACTTCACTACTGTAAAAATAAACGTTCTCACTTACAAAAGTATTGCAGCGCTTCCCATTGCTGTGCTTCACATAACAGCTCATAATCTTCTGACTCACTTTCTTCTTCATATAGGTCAAAATCACTGTCATAGTTTATACCTGTAAGTTTTGACAAAGCTAATGAAACACGTTTACCGTTTGTATCGTATGCTTGTATAAACTTTCCATTATGCTTGTAGTCATAAACGCTCAAACTAACTTTACCCTTTCTCCCTCGTATCTGATAGAATGTATTTTCACGAGGAACGAAGAACAAATTCTTGAACTCATGACCGTTGTAGTTTGTTATCTCAATAGTTTTCGTCATTTATATAAAAATAAACTTAAAAATAAAATAAAAAATAAACTTAAAAATTAATGATATCACCACTCCCACACGTATGAAAACATAGCGCAAAAATAAATTTAGGTGAAGCGGTGAGATCTCACCTCTTTTTTCACCTGTTTTTTCACCCTATTGAATTCATTACTTTATAACTCTCTTCCTTTCTCCAACTCTTCTAACTTCTTCCTAAGTTCAGCAATGTTGTCCTCATGAAGTTTAATCTTCCTTAATATACCTTCTCTATCTAATGGTTGCTTTATCTTTCTAAACTGAACTCTACCATCCTTCATAGTATGAATGTAAAAACCTTCCGGAATAGTTCCTGATTTAATGTATTCTACCAAAAACTTTTGTTTCATTGCTTCAGTGACTTTAGTCGTCATTTCAATCAAATAAAAATTTTAATATTAAATAAAAATAACGTTATTTTTTCAGTAAGGAAACGCAGGAGTTTTACGATTTATTTGAGGAGTAGGTTTTGGTTTAAATGTTGGAGTCGGTTTAGGAGTTGACTTTTGAACAGGAGTTTGTACTTCCATAGGTTCAGGAGTCATTGAAGGTTTTGCTTGTGAAGGTGTCGGAGTTTGTTTAACTTCAGCTACTTCAGTATTATTTACAACATTTGCTTTATTTCTTTTCAACATCATTACTGCTCCTGCTGTAGCTAGCAAACCTAGTGGGAGACCATATCTTATATAAGGACTTGACCAAATGCTATTTTTGGCAGGAGCTGGTGGAACACCTAACCTTGGTGAAACTGCTCTTTGCCATTGTGCAGCTCGTAAGAAATATTCAATAGGTGCTCCATAATCGTTTGGTAAAGTTTGTTTCATAGATGGTGAAGGTTCACGAGAGCTTGATGAAGAACTCATTTATAAGCTTTAAAAATAAACGTTCATCCTTTATTCCTCACTGTCGTCCGTAGCTAAGTTATAGTCATCTAATCTTATTATGGGGATTCCATTAGCACGCACCTGAATGGCAAAGCAACAATCCCTCATAAATCCAATAAGTGGCTTTGGTACATTTTCAGTTGCTAGTTCAATAGGTCCTTTAACAGACAATTTGTATGTTATTGGAGCAGTAGATGTTTGACCTTGCTGGAAGCAAAAGTCCACTTCTGTTGGAAAACCACATAAGAAATGTGTGTTGTCATAACTATCCCATTTATGTTCCACACTACCATCATCCACCAATGACCTCATAACATCTTCATTAAATCCTATCATATCATTGTTTGTATTGCAAGCGTTCGCAACCATTTCATAAAATACAGGTCCATATGATTTTTCGGGTTCTGCAGGCATATTTCCATAAGCTCCCATGGAAAGCTGAAGATATTTAAACTTAGGGTTCTCAAAATTAACATAATAGTTGTCTTTCTTTCTAAATAGTGCCCAAATACTTTTAACATTAATAGGCGTATAAGCTGCTGTAAATGTTGCACTTGAACTATCTGTATTCTTTGAGAATGAACCGTCCATAGGAATCCAATCCATAACTTTAACAGGAAAACATAAAGCCTCGTTTGTATAATGTTCTACAAGTTCTGTATAAATGTTAGGGTCTAAAGAGAATGACTTTGGATGAATGAAACATTCATTAAAATCCATCTTTGTTCGAAATAGTTGCTGGGTTACAGTTGTAATAGTAACTGTTCCACTAGCTTCTACTGCCTTCGTTATCATAGTGAATGGTTCATTCCATGGAACAAATTTATTTGTCGGTGGATTTGAATCTGAAGCAAATGCAACTTTAAGAGTTGGATTGAAAGCAATGATATCATTTACAGATATAGATGTGCATTGTAAGGCGTCGCTACTGAACTTTACTTTAAGCTGAATGTTTCCTGCAAAAGCTGGAATAAATCGAATAGCTTCTAATGGAAGGAATCTTCTAACAGGAATTCTTAAACGAAGCTTAAAATCAAATGATTTTCCTGCTGTAATTGGACCACTAACAATTTGTCCTGTTCTGCATGTTCCCGAATGACTCCATACATCTTCATGTCGAGTCTTTGAGAAAACATCTACTTTCTTTATTTGTTCGGTAGTTTGTGAGTTTGAAGTTATATATGCTTCTTCTCTTGCGTTGTCTTGAGAATATACGATACGACCATTTGCAAGGATTTGATATCCAGCAACTGCATAGAAAGCGTCATCGAAACCAATCCAAAATCCTGGTGGGTTTGTTTTATTGGAACCTGAACCAATTTCTTTATCTACAATAAATTGACCTTCCATTTTATACGTAATGAATGTATTGTAAAGGTCCAACATATTTTCACCAGGAGGTGAGAGATTGAATGTTACCCATGTGTTATCTTTAGCAGTTCCAGGTTGTGATGGAATCTTTGCGTCAGAATATTTTCTATTAGTGTCACCAATTTGAACTGCATTGTCTATGATATCGAAATATGAGCGAATCTGATGAATATGCTCTGCTGGAGTAAATTCGTTTAACTGTTCGTTCTGCATGTATTTACTTCGGATAAAAATATCTATTTACTTCATTATTCTCACTCTTCTTCTTGGCATTCGTGGTGGAAGTTGTTTCTTGACATTTTCAATGAACTGTACATTCTCTTTTGTCTCAACTTCTTTCACTGGCGGGTCAGGGTTCTTTGACTCGGTTTTTTTTCAATGAAATTCACAAACTTTGCAATAAGCTCTTGGTTCGTTATTGAAAGTACATCTGGCTTCTTTTCTTCTTGTTCTATTGACTTTTCAGTTTGAATAGAAGGCTTAACATGGGCTTCACCCTTGCCATACACCTTAATGTTGTCGCTTTCTGCATTCGCTAATGGAACCTTTCTTTTTCTTACGTATATTTTACCATCTTTACTCTGACTTACGTAATAGAAAGGATGTTGTATTCCTCTGGCGTCATTTAATATAATAGACTCTCGCTCTGATTTTGACAAGCTCATTTTACATCGGTTAAAGTTTTAATTTTGTTTTTTATCTGCAG